TGGACTTCCTTCAAAAAACACTCGCGGCAAATATTTTATTTTGGTAAACGGGGTGAGGGTGGGAAAGGTCTGCCCCAATTTATTTTTTAAAATTAAAAAATCACATTTAATATTAATTTTTTAAATTAAAATAAAATATAAAAAATATTTTAAAAATAAACAATATTGAATGTCTGAATGCAATTATTATAAACAATTATCAACTCACACAACATTTATCATCTTTTTCATCTTTGCTTTTGTGTTTTTTCCCAATTTTCTTGTTTTGTTTCAAAGTGAATTTTGCATGTCTAAGGACAAGGAGCTTTTTGTATTCACATGTCATATATTCCATAAGTTCATTAATTCCACTCCCTGTTTTGTTTGATACTTCGAAGTATTGTCTGTTAAAACTTTTGGCATACGTCTCCGCTTTTTCTTTTGTTATAACCCTATTTTGAGAATCTGATTTCACACCAACAATGATAGAAAAATGGTCTTCTAATAAGTATCTGTCACTGTACTTAATCCAATTTTCTACATTTTCTAAAGAATCGTTACACTCAAGATCACAAACAACTATTACAGCTTCTTGATCACAGTAAAAAGATGGGAAGTGATACCCATAAGACCCTTCAGGAACAACTTCTTCAATTTTTTCATAAAAACAGATCATATTTTTTTCATTATTATATTCAATTTCACCTTGTGTGCACTTTTTGTCATTTGTCGTTTGATTAAAGGTGTGCAAATAATATATGTTGACAAATATTGAATAAATGTAACTTCATAATAAAACAAACCATTTCTTCAAATGGTTCGGGTTCCTTTTCGAATTCTCGAAACAAAACTCTTTTAATTAACGATGTTTTTCCACTCTTTTCATCACCAATAACACATATTTTAAACAAAGGTTGTTTTTCTGAAGTCATCAAATAAAATAACGAGTTTAAATATTTAAATATATAAATATTATAACAATTGAATTAATTTTAATGTTTTTAATTCTTCTTTAAAAACTTTACAGTGTTTTTATGGTGTATTTGGTTTTTAAAGTGGTCAAATAATTAAAAATGATATTAAAATAATCACTTTAAAAAATATTTGTTTTTTTATTGTTTAAATAAATGTTTTTTATTTTTCAAACATAAAAATTAATAATTATTATCAAATATATACTAATCTTAAAGAAATAACATTGATTATTTGTTGTTAAAATATTGATAATGTTTTTATAATTCTTTTAGTTGTAAATAAAATATTTTTTAATAAGAAAACTGTATTATTTATCAATTCTTTATTCTTATATTTATCAATTAAAAATAAACATTTTAAAATAACCAATAAAATAGTAATGTTTAAACCAAACAAGCAGTGATGTTTGTAATTATTTGATGTTGTAATATGCGGTATATAAACACCTATTTATTATTATTAATCAAAATGGGATACGACTGTCCATACTGTCATCATAGTGATTGGCAAAGATGTTGCAAATGCGGCAAATGTCAATGCAACTGGTGTGGTAAAGACCAAAGTGGGAAAAAGAGAGAATCTGCTAACTACTGTTGCAATTGTAGATATTGCACAAACTCCTTTGATTATGGACAAAGCAATATTGCTCCTAATTGGGCCGTTTAAACAACCATTTTTTTATTTTTTACTGTTTGAACTTATTATTCTTATCTTATAATCTTAAAACGTCAATATTTATTCTAAATTCATTGTTAAACACCAACAAATTTATAAATAATTTTTAATTATATAATTAACTTTTTAATAATTTGTTTATAATAATAAACTTGAATAATTATAAATATAATATAAATAATTAAAAAATACAATTATGAAAAAAAAGTGTTTTATTACTGGTTTTATATAAAAAAACGGTGAAGAAAAAGAATAAGAAAAATATTGGGTTTTTATCCCGACTTTTTAAGTAAGTATATAGCAACCAAAAATAATTAGAACACCCATAGTTCTGTTGAAAAAATATTGAATATTGGCGTTTTTTATTGTAAAAAACCCTTTAAAAAAAGTCAAAAATAAATTAAAGAAATGTCACTTTCCAATGATGCAACAACGCAAATTCACCATCCAATTTCTATTCCTTTAAAAGAGAAGGGATTTCAGTTTTCAAAGATCATCAACTTTGCACAAGACAAAATCAATCACGTGACAAAATCTCCTCTTACAATTAGCCCGACACTTCAGACAGATTCAGACGTGCAAATTATGAGATCGACAAAATGGATTGATAAAGAAAGGATAACTGCTGCTGGGAATATTTTAAAGATCAAAAGTTACAGAGAAAAGTATATGAAAGTCGATGTAAATAATTTAATTACCTTTTTAAAGGAAAATGGCGTTCAAAAAAATGAAACAAAAAATTTAGAGAAAAAAATGACTCAAGAAAATGGAGGGACTTTTATGAGTGTGTTTCCTTTACACGAAAGCAACAAACCATCGTGTGATAAAACTGAAACTTTTCAACAAGACACCAATGGATATTTTGATACTATCACTTTTTCACAGAACAGAGGTGTTTACGAGATAATTGACACCACAAGTGGTCGCACTTTATTTACCCCGAATTCGATCGAGAGTTACTTAATAGATTTTGAGACAGTACTCAAATTGATTGAAGATGCTCCGACTAAAACGTTTACAATGGAACGCTTACAAGAGCTTGAGAACAGATTTAATCTTCACAAAATTCTTCAATTGAGTACACACAGAAACGGCAAAACCTTTTTTGAGTGTTGTAAAGTCGACACGCACATTCATGCGAATTGGGCAGTGACCGAGAGCGTCCTTTTAAAATTCATTAAAGAGCACAAGAGCGACTTAAATCCCATTTATGAGAACAAAAACAAGAAGAAAGAGAATTTGACTGAATTCTGTGATGACCACAAAATCAATTTAGACAAAATGACACTTCGCCAAATAGGGGAGGTCGAAGACAAAAATTCACTCAGCTCCATCTTTCTCGAGAGTGAAAATTACAATGAAGGAAAACTCTTTGCCGAACTTCTTAAGCACCAATTCAGTAAACTAGAAGAGACCAACACATTTTGTGAAATGCGACTTGTTGTAAGAGGAGACGACGAAGATGAATGGTTCAAGTTATCGCATTGGGCAACTACAAATAATGTGATATCAAGTCACAATAAGTTTCTCATTGAGTTTCATCGAAATTACGAACACTTTGTGACACTGTATAATACAAAAAAGAGTGAAAGTGTGAACTTCGCGAAGTACATATCAAACTTCTTTCATCCATTATTCGAAGCTACTTTACACACAGAAAAATACAAAGAACTTTCGTTGTTCTTGCAACAAATAAGTGGTTTTGACTCTGATGGAGAAGAAGGGTTTGTAGAGTCTATCACACTCTCTCAATTCGACCCAACAACAAGCGAAAAACAGAATGTGTCATATTACATCTACTTGTACTATTTTTATAGTAACATTGTCTCTCTGAATATTTTGAGGACAATGAAAGGGTTGAACACATTTGATTTCCGCCCCCATTGCGGAAAGACTGGTCACTACAGTCATTTAATTGCAGGCTATTTAATGACGAATGGAGTCTCACAAGCACTCAAATTGGAAGACAACACTACGTTACAATATTTGTTCTATTTGGACCAACTTCCTATATCACAAGCACCAATGGCTACACACTCAAGAAACCTTGGGAGTTATTCTTCGAACCCTTTTAATAACTTCTTTGCGGTCGGATTGAACGTTTCACTGTCGACGGACAAACCTTTGCGAGTGCACAAAACCGTCGAACCGTTACTTGAAGAATACTCTATGGCACAGAACATGTATAAGTACACCGATGATGATTTGGTAGAAATTTGTTACAACTCAGTCCGACAGTCTGGCTTCTCCAAAGAAGAGAAGATTGGGATGTTAAATCTTTCCGTCACCAATTCCAGTCGCTCGATTTTTAGAAAGCGACTGTTAGAAACGGAAAGTGAGGTACTCAAAGCGCTCACACAAAACAATATCAATGGCGTGTTTGTGGACATCCCAAGAACTAAAGTCTACTTGGAATTTAAAACGAAGAACGAGAATGAAGTTCAAATAATGCGAAATATCACTTACTACATTTCACTGAGAGAAAAGTACATTTCAAAACAAGACGACTTCGACTTGAACAGTTTGAGCTTTGACGAAAAAGACGACGAGATTAACGAGGACAAACCAATTTTTATTGGAAAACAAAAGAGTGAAAATAAGAGGGGGAAGAGGTTTTACTGTTCGATAAAGAATGGGGTGTACGGGGTCTATGACACCCCCAATATGGTCTGTGACCTTTGTACAACATCAACCACCTTTGTGCAATGTGTGGACTGTAATCAGAAATTGTGTAAAAAGTGCTTTGAGAATACACACGCAAATTTGTGGCATTCAATTCGACTTGAAAAGAATCAAGAATACTTCCCAACAATCAAATACAGTGAATTCATGTCGGACTACAACTCGTTGGTCAATTTTGTTTCTGGTGGAGAGTCAAGGACATTTGGTTACAAACAACTGAAAATCAGAGAGGAGCTTTTTAAGCTCCACAAACTGTTGAATCACTCAACTGAAGCTTTTGAAATGAAAGAACTGAAAAACGATTTTGACACTTCGGTAAAGATAGATACGGTGTTAACAGGGTCAAGGTCATTTCACCCAAAAGCACTCTTAGAGTTCATTAAAGAAAAGGTGAATTCCGATACAGAGAAAGTTGTGTTCAAGCAACTTGAGGTCGAGACAAAAGAAGGCCTTACAAGAGTTTTCAAGAACGTGACTTTGAAGAGTGCAATGAACATCTTTTATATCGACAAGACTAAAATGACATTGGAGAGCCTCGACGTCACCTTCGACCCTTCGGTGATTCAACGGTACGATCTCTGGAGGTCGCGTGATCGCCTTTTCAACCGCCGTGAAATGCGAAATTTGTTCTTGACAACGAACAACGTCGAGAAAGGAAAGTACTATGGCGAGTTACTTCAACAGAATTGGTTTAACAAGAACCAGAGTAAATTCCTCAAGAGTGAAATAGGTCTTCGGATCAATGGAAAGAGTTCTGGTGATATTTTGAAGTTAGCCAAGATGCTAGACACAGAGGGCATATTAGACTCTACAGAGAACATCCTCAGTATCCAAATAACTCGTGATTACATCAAATTGAGGAATGAGAAGAACGTCAAGAACTTCGAAGAGATCATTTGCAACATCTTTGGACCACTCCTTGAAGCTACACTGAACCCATCAGAGCATCCAGAAGTGTTCAAATTTTTACTTAGGGTTGGCAGCTTTGATATGAAAGGGGATGAAAGTATCTACTCAACTAACGGTAATATAGAAAGAGTGTTACCTTCGGAATACAAGGAACCATCCGAGCCACCATTCCAATATTGGATCTTTTTCTTACGAATGAACATTTCAGTGTTAAACAATTTACGAAAGAGTTTGAGGCTTAACACCTTTGTGTTTCGACCGCATTGTGGGGAGACGGGGGATCCAATGCACTGCGCCTCCGCGTTTCTGACGGCCGACTCGATTTCTCACGGAATCACTTTAGACGATCAAAACATGTTGCAGTATTTATTCATCTTAGCTCAAATAGGGATTAGCTGCTGTCCCATTTATGACAAATTTCTGTATGATAGTGTCGAGCATCCTTTTGTGAAGTACTTTATGAGGGGGATGCGGGTCACTTTAGCTACTGATGCGCCGATGCACTCACATACAACTAAACAACCACTAATCGAAGAGTACGCAAATGCAGTTAAAAGTTTCAAACTAACAGCAACGGATGTGAACGAAATAGCACAGAACTCTGTGATCATTTCGTCGTATGACGAGAAGGAGAAGATGAATTGGTTGGTCGATCAAGACGGGGCAAGTCTCAGCGTCCCAAACACGCGACTGAAATACAGAGAAAAGGTTCTGAAGACTGATGTGAACACGTTGTTATTGTACAACATCGGAAGATCCTCAATACCAGCAAATGACAAGAAGGAACTATTAAAAGGTTCTTTTAATTATTAATTCATATAGTTTCTCCACATTTTGTAACGAGTTCGACAAATTAAGTAAGTATCACACACTTTTTGAACGATTCCCAGATTTTGATTATAATAAAAATATAGTAAAAATGAATTAGCAGGAACCAGTAGCCTTGCAGACAGCTGTTGGGTCTTCCTGGGCCATAATGGCATCAATGACTTTAGACATTCCATAAGCTTCCCAATCCTTGCAGACTTGGAGAGCCTCATCAGTGGCAATGCTGCAAAGCTCATCAATGTAATCTTCTACTGTTTGTCTTCCGTGTTTAGCTTGCAACTGTTCGATTTGCCCAATCAAAGTTTTGCACCATGAACATACAGCTGGGTCGGCAGCAAGTGTGAAAACAGTAAAAATCAAGAAGACACACAAGAAAGCTTTCATTTCAAATTTTCGGTTCAAATGAGTTTCTTTTTATTGCTAATGGAACCTTCTTCGGTATTCTCTTCTTATTTATTCATTATTTATTTAATATAATTCATTAATAATTAATTTAATCTAATGACTAAAATAATTACAATCATTTTTTTTTCATTGAGTCATTTTATATTTTTTATTGATTGTTTATTATAATTATCAATTTAATAATCTTCAGTTTTCTAAAACCTTTGAATTTTCTGTTCGAAGTGTTTCGAAAAAATAATCATTTCTAATTATATATTAAGAATTAATTATATTTGATATATCCAAATGTATTATATTTTATATTAATTTTATTAATTATTATTAATACATAAAAAAATCTTTTATAAAATAATTTATTAAAAATCTTTGTGTTTTATTTTTTTGATAGTAAATTATTCTATAATAAACTATTATTAATTATTAACTATATTATTACCTATGATAGTATAATGAATTAAAAATAAAACTAATAAATAACAAATAGTTGTTTAGTCCTTTCCCCACGTCTTCAATTCGGCGTGTTCAGGAGCAGAAACGTCGAACTTCTTATGTTCGACTTCTTCCCAATTCATATTTAAAACTGTTCCTCCCGACTCGACAAAACTCTTATTCATAGCTCTTCTCTGTTCTTCAGTGGCTTGTCTATAAAGATCTTGGAATCCGGCATTTGGTCCACCTTCATGGACGTCTTTCAACTCTTCGTCTGCCTGTTTGTTGATAGCATCCCAATCCTTTCTATTAGCGTTTAACGCACTTTCTTGGTGGTGCGACTCCTTTCCTTTTGTCAAGTTGTCCCAATTAGCGCCGTCTTTCTTTTTCAATTTGATTTCAATTTTGACTTTCCCGACACGATATGTCGACGCGGCGGTGTCATACGCACCAAACAAATTGTCAATGATCTGCGTTTTGGTCTCTTCTCCTACTTTCACTTCTATGGTCACTTGCTCCTCTTCAAAGTCAATTTTGACGTTCTCCTTCGGGACATTCTTTTCGAAGACATCAATGATTACAAAGCCACCTTGCTGATACCAATCATACCGAAGTGACATCGGTACACACTATGAGTCTCTTATTCAGTTCATCTATTTATTAAAAAAGTGACGTGGAAATGATGTGATTGTGATGACGTGGTTGACATGTTTGAGGTTTATTTTATTTTATTTTTCATGTCATATTTATTATTATTATTTAACTTCACACTTGGACTCAAGAAGTAGACCTTCAACATCCTTTTTAAAGAAAAATTTACTATAAAATAACCATTGTATATTTATTCAATTATTTTGTAAATTATATAACCAGAGGTTTTTATAATCACAATGCTAATTACCCACGTCACCATTTTATAACCAAAATATTCATTTTCTCTTATAAATTCGTACGTTATAATACCACATTTTCGTCAATAATTATTTTGGAAACCTCTGTATATAACCAAATCAATTCATATTAATTAATAGTAATTATAGTAATATACTAGAATGATTTAATATAATAAACACCAATTCCACATAATTCAAACTTTTACAATTTTTTCAAATCAAAAAAACATTTTGAATAACAAAAAAATCTCAGTAATTACTTACAACTCAATTAAAAGTCGTACAAATCGTCATCTGCTTTTTTTGCTTTTTTATTCACTTTTTTTGTGTGTTTCTTTCGAGTTGATTTTTGTCCTGGAGCGGGCATTGGGTCATATTCGTCACAATCTTTTTTCGCACCTCTCAGTGAAGGGGGGACATACGCACTTTGAGATTCTTCTTTCTTTTTACCTATAATAGTAGTTCCCTCTACTTTATCCATATTAATGGGGGTTGGTTTTAAAAAGAGATGAAGTAGTTTGTCTCCAAAATCAACGCTTTTCTCTTGTACGTTAAAAACGTTACAAATTTTAATGAAGTTTTCAAAATGGCGACGTGGGAAACACCCACAGAACACTACACTTTTCGAGTCACTTGTCCAATTCCATTCCGTCGTACAATGCGCTTCAAATTCACTGACCATTTTCCACGTGGTTGTTTCATACACGTCGACTTCTCCGGGACAATTCCCGAACCCTGCGACCGCCAAAAATTGATCGTTCGGTGAAAACTTCAATTCGTTCCGACTTTGATTCTCAAACTTCTTCACAGATATAAACTTCCCACTTTGAAGCACTTTAAACACTTCGACGGTAGCGGGCATATACCCCGCGACACTCGCCATAAGTGTCCCATCGGAATTAAAGACGGCATCATAAACAGGTCCGGTCGGTTGCGGAAGAGTTGCGTTCTTTGAAGAGTCTGCTATTGAAACGAAGTGTAAAGTACTTTCTCCATAATAACTTTGTCCGCTCGAATCGACGGAAGTCTGTGCTTTACAGATCACTAAATTGCCTTTCGGAGACCATTTCAGCTCAGAGAACTGTGCTTTGAAGAATGAAGTTGAAGTGATCGTCGATCCAATATTTGGATAATTCGACACAAAGAGACGTGCAGGTTGTGACTTCTTAGCGTTCTCCGGGGAGAACCCTGCAAACAGATTTGGGGAGTCCGCGCTTTTGCACCACGCGAAATTCCTCACTACCGTTGCGTTGTACTGTTTCTCAGCTTTTGTGATGCGAGACTCGGAAACATCATAGAAATAGACTGTGGAAGCTAAATGGGCCATTAACGTCTCATTAATATTAAATTGAATGATCGGCCAGATTTGGATGTTCTTTTGCATGACCGAGTATATAGGGTCTTTGGGGTGTTTAGTATCAAAAACGTGTAAAGTTGGCTTTTCCTCTTGTTTCACCTTTTGTGGCCCATTCTCGCCTTGGACGTATTGAAGAGGAATTAATTGCCAGAAGACTAAATATCTTCCTTGTGGACTATAACTGAATTTCTCGATGTTTGGAAGGTCGACTTGGAATATAACTTCTTTGGTCTCTTTACTGTACACCACAGCACCAGACTTAGTTATTACTATAATGTCACCACTAGGAAGATAAGAAGATTGAAGAGCTTCAATGTCTATTTTCAAAGATGAAACCTTTGGAATATCGTCTTGAAAAGAGAGTCCATCTTTAAGTAAAATAGAACAGGGATATGATGGGGTGGTTGGCTTCATACTTCGATGAAAAAGTAAATTAAAGTTTCTGAGTTATTGTATGAATAATTAAATTCCTTCTAAAAAGGGTTTACTTCTTGTTTTGTTAGTTGTTTTGGTCTTCTGGAATTATTTTATTTAAAATTAAAATTAATTTATTACTAAATTTTCTATCGTTTTTCTTTACTTTTTTATTAACTTTGTTTTATTGACTTTTTCGTGTTCTTTATAATTACTATATTTTTAATTTAAATTTATTATAGATATAAGTATGGATCAAAACCAACAAAATAGTAATCATTTACTAATTAAAAACCATATTTTTAGAAGAACAAAAAAAGAGTTTTTACTATAAAACATAACAAGAAACAACAAGTGAGGAGATGTCAGACATCTGTCCAATTGTTTGTTCGACACTTTTTTAATTTTTGTATTAATAATAAAAGTTAACACAAAGGAAAAGAAATGTGCGCGATGTGGGAAACTACTCACCGTCCGCGACTTTTTAAGGGACTCAATGTACTGTAAAGAATGTAAATTAGACATTAGTTTGTCAAACGAAAAGACACCACCTCATGTTAGACGGTCGTCACGAATAAGAAAACATCAATTGGAACAAGGCGTAAAAATCAAAGAAGATGCCTTAAATGGATTACCAGAGGGTTTTACAAAAGAGAAGAAAAGGGAGGACTTGGAGAAGTTTGAGCAGACACTCGAGAGTGTCGAGAAGAGTGAATTTAAGACCACAAATGAATCTTCAAACAGTGAAGACCTTCCTTTAAATATTTATGACTGTGGGTCATCGGAAGAGAGTTTGGAATATTCGGATGAATCGGAGAACACAAATTGTCATATCAACAAAGAAAAGGAAAACTTTGAAGTGTCCACATCTACATCTTCTTCAATTGAAGAAATTATTCAAAAACCTACAAAGCAAATAAAAGACGATAAGAAGCCACAAATAAGTCCTCAAAACAATTTAAAAAGAAACAAAACACACACAAAACGATCAAATTTTTCTGAACAAGAAGACATTCAAACTCCCAATTCGAAGCCTCTTGTCGAACTCACTCGACATTACCAGCAACTTCCTTCACAGTGCGAAATCGTGAAACAAATACCTCCTAAGAAGAAAAAGGACTTTAAACTTAAACAGAACGAAAATAAAGAGATGTTAGTCACTGTTAAAAAGGAGAAACTGGAAGACTCAAAAACACAAAGAAGTGATCTAAAGCCCATTCGAAAGCCAGTTGAGAAAATACAGAAATTGTCTTCTCAACTTATTGAAGAGAAGCCAAAGAGAAAGCGAGGAAGACCACGGAAAGTACCGAAAGAGGAGAATGAGTAATTGATGAGTGGATTAGTAGTTATAAAAGTGATCAGAAAGACTCACAGAATAGCTTAATACTACTAATAACACCAAAGACTTAATGTATTATAAATTGAAGAGAAAAGAACTCAAAAAGATAAATGAAAGAACACCCCTTTGCACCACACATTTTCATTAAACCGTTACTCAAACGGACATTTCTTGTGATCACAACATTTCTAATCACAGTAGTTATTGGTGGTATTGTTTTAGGAGTACCCACTATGAGTGAAGGTGTGAGTACTACCGTCGACGCACTGAAGACAAAGTATCGACTCAGTGTTTCCTTTCCAATCTCTTTTGTGCTTAACTTCCTGACTATAATACTCTGTCTCCCACTTCTTCCAATACAAATGGTGACGGGGTATATCATAGGATTTGGATTTGGGTCACTCTCAAATATCGTTGGGAGTGTACTTGGCATCTTCTGTGCCTTTGTCATCACTCTAGTCTGCTCTAAAATCAGACTTTTGATGCTCCGAGTACACCTCGACTTCTGTAAGTATTCACAGACAGAAGGTTTCATATACGTTGTGTTGACTGTTGCATCCCCTAAAATTGATATTGGAAGTGCAGTGTATTGCTTCACTAAGATCAATTACATCTCTAACTTATTATCCGTTTTGGGGGTTTCGATATTACTAAGTGTGTTCTACGCATACATCGGGTCGTTGTTTGACCCATTCATTCAAGTCTTTGTGGGAGACGACAACACAACGTGGTATGTCCTCTTACAAGTCTTTGTTGTTCTCTTTGTTGGATTTGTCACATTTTTAGGGCTCTTTGTGTTCTTACACTACGTCAACAAACAAATCAGCACAAGAATAGAAAACGTCTCTCTCGATGTGGCAACTAACGAGACTGAAAATTCTACCATACAAGAGTCTGAAATGGACTCCGTCCAGACTAAAAGCGAATAAGCCCTATCTTTCTATAAATATAGCTCTGTGTCTGTTATTTATAGAATATTTTTTAGTATAAAAAACTATTAATTTATTATCAAAATATACAGTCTTTCAAGCAATTTTAATTTATAATTATAGTAGATATATTATAAATGTATAGAAAATGTTATTGAAAGAAAAACCCTTTGAGGAAGAACTGTGTAGGTTAGACATGACAGTCTTGTCAAGACACCTTCTCGAGTCTCTTCCAATCAACAAATACGTTGTGGAAACGTGTAAAAATAAATTAGCTGTTACGAACTATTCACACGCCCAATATGCGTCTATTCCGAAAATATTGGAGGGAGCCGATTGGTTTGTTTCATAGAAATGACACGACAACGAGTCGAAGAATTCAAGTGACAGATAGTTTGCTTAAAGCACAGACGGGAAGTGGAAAAACACTTGCGTACTTGTTGCCAGTTATTACAAAAATCTTGGAGAACCACCCAAACATTAAACGAACGGATGGGATCTTTGCATTGATCATGACACCAACAAGAGAATTGACACAACAAGTCTTCGAAGTCTTAACTGTATTAACAACATCGATGATCGGGTTTGTCCCAACAATTGTGGTTGGTGGAGACTCGAAGAAGAAGGAAAAGGCGCGAATAAGGAAAGGGTGTAACTTGCTTGTAGGCACACCAGGAAGACTCCTCGACCACATTAAATCGACTCAAAATTTAAAACTCGATAAAGTTGAGTTTCTCATCTTAGATGAAGCCGATCGTGTGTTAGATGCAGGGTTTGAAGAAAGTGTCTTACAGATCATTGAACGTTTAAATAAGGAGAGACAAACAATTTTAGTATCTGCCACCCTCTCTGATAATGTACAAAAGCTAGCCAGTATAGCCTTAAATAATCATGTCTTCATTGATGGGGATGCTCGAGAGAATGCAAAAGATCGAAAAAAGGCCAAAATGGATGAGAAATTTGGGAAGAAGGAAGACAAAGAAGAACCAAAGAAAATAAAAGAAAATGTTGAAGAACCCGAACAAGTGGAGAAAATAGAAAAGACTGAGAAACCAATAGAAAAACAATCAGAAAAACAAGTCGAAAAACCAGCGAAACTCGACAAGAAAGCAAAAATGGAAAAAATTAAAAACAAAAATGCGGATATCGCCGAAGAACAAACATTAACTCTTCCATCGTCACTCAAACAATATTATATCACTGTCAAAGACAAAAATCGATTGGTCTATTTAATAGCAACACTCAGAACACTGTTGGGGAAATCTTCACAGTGCAAAGTCATCGTCTTCTTCTCATGTATCCCATCAGTGAATTATCACTACGCACTCTTCTCGGAACTGAAGTTCTTGAACGACACAACTTTGTTCCAAGACACTAACCTTTTCAGACTTCATGGAGACTTAACTTCAGTAGAACGGTCTGATGGATTGAAGAGCTTTGTAAAGTCTGACAAAGGAATTTTATTGACGACGGATGTCATTGCGCGTGGTGTCGATTTGAAAGGCGTTGACTGGATTTTACAGTACGACCCACCAGGAGAGACTTCCGAGTATATTCATCGTTCTGGAAGAACAGCGCGGTTTGGGAGAGAAGGGAATGCACTTCTCTTCTTACTTGAGAGTGAGGTGGAGTATATTGAAATGCTTCGTAAGGCTGGTGTTAAAATCGACGAGATGAAGTCCGAGACTGTTGAAAAGGCTCTTTCGTATAGTGGCGGGAAGAAAGCGATGATTTCAAGAGTCCATGAAATGCAACTGAAGATCGAACAAGCTCTTGTTGAGCACAAAGAATTGAAAGAACTTGCTGTGAAGAGTTATCAAGCGCATCTGAGGTCATACATGACACATCGTTCTGAGCTTCGAAGTGTATTTAATATTAAAAAGCTTCATATAGGTCATATATGTAAAAGTTTTGGTATCAGAGATACGCCAACTAATGTGATGAATGTACTGAGAAAGAATGAAGGTTTCCTTGAGAAAGAAAAGAACAGTCGATTCCAAGTGAAAAAGGAAGGGATGAGGAAGATGTCTGAATTTGATTCTGGGCTCCCGTCGAAGAGAAGACCACAGAAAAAATGATTGAATTTTGAGTCAATTTTTGTACAATTTGATCTTTAAAATAAACTGTTGGATTACTTTTAGTAATAAAAACATTAGTGAAGCATAATTTGATCCAATGTTATAATTAGAACCATTTATATAACACTTAATTCTATTATTTAACACATTAAAAGCATTGAAATAATTATAAATTACTTGATGTGGGGTATTTACTAAATACTATTTAGAGTGTTGAAAACTTGTAATACATAAAATAATGAAAAAATTGGACAGTTATCATGTGATGATTGTATCAAAGTACTTCCGTTATTTTCAAGACTTTGTTTCACTCGAAAGTGTTTGTAAAAAGTTTCAAGGCACTATGTCAAAATTCCATTTTAACCCAATTCCATTGAACACGAGAACTATTAAATACTTCCCATCTATTGAAACACTTAATTTATGGCACCAAAATGAAGAGTCTTTTGGCAACTCAGTTGTGCCTTCTACATGTGATACATCATATAGAATTGAACAAAAGAAAGAGTTTTTCCGTGTTGTGTTTTGGTACAATGTTTCATATTCTATCACTCAAAAATTCAAAACCTCAAACTACGTTTTTAAGTGTGTTATATTAGACATATTCAATAAAAAAAGTTTAACTGAACAACTTTCAAAACTTGAACCTCTTCCCAAAATAACTGCTTTAAATGGAGTGCCTAATGAAGAGAAACCAATCTCAATTCCAAAACAAATAACATATTTGGGTGATTCAATTTTTATCTACAACACTATGGCTTCGATTAATTTGCCACCATATTTGCGTGAGCTTGGGTCAAAAGCATTTTACAAGTGCGAGAACCTTTTGTCTATAACACTACCAGATACGTTGACCATTCTCAGAAAATTTTGTTTTTGTGATTGTAAAGTTCTGAGTGAAGTTGTGTTACCGAAATACTTAAAAATGTTAGACAACGATTGTTTCTATATGTGCTTTAAATTAAAACAAATTACTCTGCCAGACACAATAAGGTTTATTGGAAATTATTGCTTCATTGGGTGCACTTCTATGACATCAGTGAACATCCCAAAGGGTATCAAAGTGCTTCCAAATTTCTGTTTTCGTGGGTGTAGCAGTCTTCATGATATTAAAATTCCGACCAATGTCGTTGCAATAAAAGAAAATTGCTTTTCCTTATGTGGGTTGTATACAATTGAAATTCCAGAGTCTGTTCAACAGGTTGGAGATAATGCCTTTTCTGGGTGTTCTCACCTATCTGAAGTATTCTTCAAAAGTAGTATAAAAACAATTACACGACATTCATCAATTTCAACAGACAAATTAGTGCAACTCACCTCGATTCAAGGAGTCTCATCGATTGGAAAAGAGTGCTTTGCCAAATGTTCAGAACTTTCTGTCGTTAACTTACCCAACACAAATGTCACACTGGGAAAGAACTGCTTTTCTTGTTGCCCAAAGTTAAGTTCAATCACTTATCAACAAGATACTGAAGTCAATGCCACTTCGACCATTTGACTCTGATCGAGTAATAAAACAATATTGAATCAACTTTTTTTCAGTTTTGAAGTATCTTGAAATTAATACCAACGAACTAAAAATTGAATTAAAACCGCCTTTGAACCCAAACCCACTTGAAACGCCGTCAAAGATACGACATGACGGGGCCGGGCTTTTCTTTCTCTGAGACAATTTCTTCATCGAAGACAAAGACGTTCTGGTTATCCTTAACGTCTCTCACTTCGTCGTTAAATGTGGGTGTTATCGTGGGCGAAGGGGATAACAAATCTTCAAATGAGTTCTCTGCAGATGTCAATGAGCAAGGCGACATGTCACATTTTCTTCTGACAAGGTTTCTGGCCTTTGGTGATGGGCTAGGTGGTGGCAGTAAAGTCAATGAAATTTTAACTGGTTGTGGGCGAATGATTTTGTTTTCTTGGACCGACCCATAGACTGCTTTGCTCTTCATTGACATTGAAATGCTTTGGATCTCCTCGTCTAAGCTCTTGATATATTCAGATAACCGATTTCCAATCGAAATGGCATTTTTCATCTCAGTCTCATCGTACCGTGAAGACAACTTGACGCACTTCTCCAGTTGTTTTTGGAACTTTCTCGTGGTCAGTTTATTATCGTGTTAACAAAATAAACAGCACACTTAGCCACATTATTAAAAGAAAGATATAATTAATCGTATATAGTTCTTTATAGTAATAATAATAAGTTAATAGTATTAAGAATAATATTTATAGTTTATTATAAAAGTGGTCTTAAGTGTGCTAAATAATACTTGAAAGAATACACTTCCTCAGTAGTAGTCAAATTTAAGTGTTTTAAAGTCCATTAAAACGATAAATAAGAGTAAGATGATGAAAGTAAACATGTCAAGTATAGTAAAAACAAACACTCTGATTTTATCTGCTCTGTTGTGAATTGCTTGTAAATCACCGGCACCGTTTTCAAGAGCCTTAGTAATGTTTCTTAAATTGTGTTCGACGTGAGGAATCAATTTAGTGATCTCTGGTGGTAAGAAAGTCGTTGGTTGGTTCAGTGAGTTAATCACATGAAGTGAACAGTACTTTTTATACAAGACGGCGTACTCATTCATTTCATTGGGGTAAAAGGACCCCCATACTGCTATTAACTCTCTGACTTTCAACTCAAGTTCTTCGGCTTGGTCATACCTCTTTTTCATCTTTCCAATCTGTTGAAGAAGTTTCACAAAGGATAACTCACAGGCTTGTGTTCTGAAGACTTGCGAGTATTGGACGACATAATTTGTGAGGACCAATGTGTTCATCATCTCCTGAGAAGTGATTTTCTTGTTCATAAACTTCTCCATCCGCTCCTCAACTTGTGAGCGAAAGGCGACATCAGCAGACTCAATCTTCTCAACTACATTTGCTATCATCTGCATGTCTTTCTCACTCGGCGAACTGTAGATGTCCGAAACAATATTAAACACTAACTCACTCAACTTGATCGACATTGATTTCCTGACGCAACAGATTTTACAGTTGAGCTCAAATAAAGCCCGGAATTTCGAGTAAAAAATTCGGTGGATATTGTTTATAGTTTCATTATTACTTTCGTTATCTATCAAAATGGTTTATTTCTATCTTTGGCATGCTAACCCTCTATTGTTTTCTTGGGAATTTTGCCTCCCCGAAAAGAGGAAAATTCACTTCCGGGTTTATTTGGCGATGAACATTGGATATTTGTAACTGGTTGTAAATTAAGGAATTTTCCCGTTTTTTAACATCAAAATCATTTGTTATAAAAAAGTTTCTTATCTTTTTTTACTTGCGCATTTTCTGTTTTTTTTCACCAACAAACTGATATTATCGTTTTTAATTATTTCGGTAACGGCATATTATGGCATTTTATCGTTTCAAGCTAAAAAAAGCTATTCAAAGAATTATATTAATAAATTATTATTAAAAATATGCCGAATGTGAATGACTTTTTTTAACAGTTTTAAACAAAGTTGACACAACTATAATTTGTGTAAACATAAAGGGATACTATTAGCCCGTTTATTAGAAAGTAACTCCCTTAAAAACAATCAAAAACAATTGATAAAAAAGGTTTTTGGGTTCTTGTTTTGTCAAACAAAATTTGACAAAAATTAATTTTAATTTGCTATTAAAAAATTGTATTGTTCGGGAAATTATGGCGATAATTATTGTATTTATTCGGCACAGAAATGAAAATTAAAGTCCCTCTTTCTTCTTGATTTTCATTTCATTCTGACTAAAAAGTCCTAAGGTCTTAAACATCAATGTTAGAAAACTTTTCTTCAAACCTCAACGTTTTTTCCCTTCTTGAAACCCTTTATTTCCAATATAAAAAAATGTTATAATATATAATAAATTAAACTACCAAATTAAAACTATCCATGTATTATTAATAAATAGTATATTTTTAGTTAATTCAATTAAAAAAAACAACTAAAATTTATTATAAATAACTATAAATAATATGATTATATTTATGGTAAAAACAACCATTAAAGTAACTAAAAAAGTGAATAACACAAGATGGTGGAAAATGTTCTCTATTCATAAGTCCTCGTCAAAAGCAAAGACGTCGGGCGACTGGGCATTGTTGTTCATTGTTGATGTACACGTTGGAACCGCAAACGGTGACGACCTTGTCTGGAAGTCGACTTCGTCTCTTACAAGTGGTGTTTGTTTCTCTTTCAGCCCAACTTCTGGGATAACATAGCTGTGCGATACTAACATCCCACCCACGTGCTTTTTCATTTGCACTTTCGTCGCCATTGAGTTCTTCTGTGTGGGCATTGTAAAGTCAATTTGTGCCTTTGGCTTCATTAACTTGTTTACAATTGCTCGGGGTTCTTGTTTATCATCTCTTAAACCTTTTTGCTTCCTGACAACACCAGCCGGTTTGCTTGTAGTTAGTATTAATGCATTATTACGTCTCGATGTATCTTGAATCACAAACTCTATCATCGTCTTCAATTGTTTTAAAGCCTCCGCCAGCCGTTTTCCGATAGCTACACACTCCGCAAAACTGTCTGGGTCATACCTTCCTTTGTCTCCGAGACACTTCGAACACGATTGTTCATATTTTCTATATTGTTAATATTCAGTTATGAAGATAAATTGATATATTGATATATCAATATATAAATGGATATAATCATAAGACAAACTTCGATATCTTGAATGCATACATATAGATATTGTCAAGATCACCATACCCCGTCTCTAGAGCTCTCGAAATATTTCTTAAGTTATGCTCCACGTGAGGAATTAACTGAATGATTTGTGATGGTAAAAATGTCGTTGGTTGTGTGTGTGGATTGATGATTTTTCGCGCACAGTATTTTTGATATAACACGTTGTACTCCGACAACTCACACGGATAAAACGTCCCCCACACTGCAATTAACTCTCTCACCTTGTCCTCAACGTCGTTTGTCTCATTGTGGAGTTTCTTCATCTTCCCGACTTGTTGGAGAAGCCCAACGAATGATAACTCACAGACTTGTGTTCGAAAAGTCGGCGAGTTCTGTACAACAAAGTTAGTAAGTGTCAAACAGTTAATGATCTCGTTGTCAGGAACAATTTTCTTTGTGTAGTTTCTCATTTTCTGTTCGATCTGAAGACGTAACACTATATCGGCACCAGCCACCCGCTCAACTGCATTCACTATCGTCTGCATCTCAACTTCCGAAGGGTCGTTGCGGCTATCCGTTATTAAATGAGAGACTAATTCACTGAGCTTGACTGACATAATATGCGCACCAATTAAAATTTTCAGTTCACGGCTCTGACTTTGTCTTGGGTTACTATATTTATTAATCAAAGTATTATTATTGTACCATTAAATCATTCTGATATGACTAGAGGTTTTTCCACAAGATTTTCCTGTGAAATGAGTTGCACTTTATTGGGTGTTTTCCCGACTATTAGATAGTCATCGTGGAATGTAAAGAAGTATTTTTAAAACGATTGAAAAGTAATGACTCAAAAATGATCCCCCATTTCATCAAATGGACAATATATGATTTGAATTGCCTTTATTGTGTTGAAAATTATAACATTTTTACCATAAAATCAAATATGCTGATTGGTCTGTTGATGTCAGCATTTTTTGGTTAATATTATTGAGTTTTTTTTAATCGTATTATTGCAAAAAAGTGGGTAATTTGTGAGAAGAAAAGAGATTGAAAAAGCTTTTTTTTAAAGTTCTCGAATGTATTTTTGCATTTAAGTATTTAGGTATACTAAAAACTTAAGTAAAGTATTTATAATCTGGTCTTTTTTACTAAAAAAAAGCTAAGATATTTTTTCAAAAATAATAATAAATATTAATAGTAAATTATTTATTATTGTCACAAACCTTTTTCTTTTAACTTTGTTTTTGGTGATTTTCCACAATTTTTCAGGCAGTTTTGATATTACAATTCGTTTTTTTATTTATTATAGGTGACTTTCAGTCGGAACTTTGGGGGTTCGGCATTTTATAAGAGTTAATGTTTACACGCGTCTTTTTAAACTTCAAGACAAAGGCCTCTGATATACAATTAATAATTTTTTTATTATGAAATATCATTAATATTACAATTTATTTATTAAACTATATTATTAATTAATATAATAATGTTTAATAATCACTTAATATATTATTTTACTACAAAAGCAATTTTTTTATGATAAATTGAATAAAAAAGAAAAAAAGGTTTTTAAATAAAACTAACAAATTTTTTAAATAAATGAAATCTAAAGTGAAATAATAAATAATTGGTAATTAAACTATAAATAGTTAAAAATTAATAATTAACAAAAAATAATTGAAACAAGATCTTCTGTGATTTGGTAAAAAATAACAAATAATTGGAATTATAATAAAAAATAATTTAATAATAAATATATTTTGTATGATTTTATTTTTTGTTAATAATAACTATAATTACCAATTTTGAAAATTTGTTATTGATGTTTTTTTCGAATTATTATTTTACAATTTAAAAAAAATCAACATTATTAATATTAAAATAAAATTGTAAATTGAATAATTTTAATAACTTTTCATAACTCATTTGAAATAAGTTAGTAAATTGTAATTTTTAGATATTTTAAACAATTATGACTTTTAAATTAAAAAAAAATACAGTAACTAATTTATTATTATTAATTTACTAGATCAAAATAACAATTTTATTATTATTATATGATATAGTTTATTTTAATAATTACTTATACTGAAGAAAACAAAACTATTCGAAAAAGTTGATAAACCAAAAGACTTAAAAAATATAGTAAAACAATAATTATTTAATAAAATCAATATCAACACTTTCTTTTCCTCAACACTTCGACTAAAAAGTAATGATATAACCTCGAAAAGGAAGACAAAGTCCTTCTTTGAATGAAACACAATTTGTTTCGCATAAAAGTGTGTTTTGTGCCTATAATGTCAGTGAACTAATAAGAAATAAAATATTGTTGATGAAAGAAGTCATTCTTCTTATTCTATTTCTTTCATATTCTCTTGGAGACTGTTCTTGCCGTCTTCCAATTATCGGTGGGTGTTTAAGTTGTTATCGTGGGTGTTCTGCAGTTAATTATAAATGTGCCCGTTTGTTCTTTCTTTACTTTTTACACAACAAAGAAAAGACTATTAGAAATAATTATAAGCTTGTGATTTTGGGTGTACCAATTGTTATCATGGCGTATCAAAATGTGATGGGTGTATAACTGGATATTATCTTAAGAACGGAGGAAGTAGTTCTCCATGTGAAAGTTTGTAAATAAAAATTATCTTTTATATTTCAACAAAGACAACACTGAGTTGTTTTTTAATTTGTATGAACAACGACACAAACAAAGATTGAATTGTTCTATTTATTAATGAATGATTTAATAGCTTCATATAATAATACTATTATAATATAATATAATATAATATAATATAATATAATATAATATAATATAATATAATATAATATAATATAATATAATATAATATAATACTATTTAATTATAATGAAAAAAGCAATAACTCACAAACTAGAATGTCAAAATACATTTGGGGAAGGTTGCACATTGTGTAATTATAACGATGGATGTCAACAATGTCAAGATGGGTATCAAATAGTAAATCGTAACACACAAAAGTGTTCCGATTTTTCGGAAGGGTGTTTACTGTGTTCAGACAACAAATGCAGTTCTTGTGCAACAAAGTACTTTTTGTCTTCTTCGTCATTAAAATGTGAAAAGTGCTCTGTTCATATACCAAACTGTGAAACGTGTATTGAGGACCAATGCATTACATGTATTGGGAATACAAGGACTCTACTTGACAACACTTGTGTACATTGTAACGAACGATGGGAAGGCTGTGTCAATTGTGACAACTTCAAATGCACAAAGTGTGAAGATACAAAATACTACTTTTTAAATGGGATGTGTGAGCGTTTGTTATTTTATCGATTTAATTCAAAAGAAGACGAAGTGACTCATTTAAAGGGTGTGCTAAAGGGTGTTTAAAATGTTCCAGTAAAGCAGTTTGCACAACATGTTCCAGTCACTATTATTTAGACGCCTCAAAGTGTCTTGACTGTTCAACACGGAAATGCAAAGAATGTACAAAGGAGAGGTGTTCAAGTTGTTTAGAAAATTCATTTTTATCATCAGACCACAAATGTGTTTCATGTCAAGAGAAGATTGGGAACTGTCTTCGTTGTGCTGATGAAAATGCTGTTACAAAGTGTTTATTATGTGCCAAAGGGTATTATGCAAATGGCTCTTCGTGTGTTAAGTGTGATGACACGTGTGGTAGTGAGGGGTGTTATCAAGGCAAATGCATCAGTTGTAAAGACCATTTGATATTCGACAATTCTGGAAATTGTGTGACAACACCTTCGACTTGTAAATCTTCACAAAGTGGATATTGCACGTCTTGTATTTCAGGATATTATTTGTATGGTGCGGAGTGTATAACAAATGAACAAAGCATTCCATGTAAGGACATTCAGATCAAAGAAGACGTCTGCGTCAGTGCAAAGGACATTAACTGCCTCAAAGCAGTTTCAAATAAATGTGAGACATGTAACACGACTGTATATAAAGATGGGGGAATATGTAAGACATGTCCAATGTACATTTCAAACTGTCAAAGTTGCACAACTTCATCTTCTGGTGATCCAATATGTGGTGCGTGTCGTATGGGATACTTCCCAGAGAAAATGTGTCGAAAATGCAGTACCATAGATGGGTGTCAAAATTGTATCAACGTGTTACTTGCTGGTGAAAGTGCTCGTATATGCACTGAATGCAAAGATGGGTATTTCCTTGATTCTGATTATTGCATCAAAATTCCAAATTGTGTTTCAAGTAAGGAAAAGAATTGTTTGAAGTGTGAAATTGATTACTTTGTATTAAATGGCATCTGTATCAACAAAGATAAGCAAATTGGGTGTTTGACAACTGATGGAATTCATTGCACTTCATGCTCTTCGGGATTTTATTTGTCTGAAGCAACAAAAATATGTACCTTATGTCTTGTTACCAATTGTACAACGTGTAGTACAACCGGAGTCTGCATAGAGTGTTACACCAACAACACGTTGTCATCAGGGGGTTGTAGGAATTGTGATATAGAAGGGTGTTATTTGTGTAACAACAAAGATGTGACTTGTCTCCAATGCGATAAAACACATTTCATAGATGTTACAAATAAATCAATTTGTAAAATATGTTCCACAAAAACCGACCATTGCTTAGAATGTGAAGAAAAATGTACTTTGTGTTCAGAAGGGTACTTTTTGGATACAGAAACACATGATTGTCGACCATGTTCTTCTATAGAAGGGTGTTTACAATGTCGAGGAGATTTAGAGGAGTGTTTTACATGTAATTCAATGTATTTTTTGGATAATGGAAAGTGCTTTAGGTGCAACAGTGCCATTCCACGATGTAACACATGCAACGACGAGAGTAAATGCATTGAATGTGAAAACGGATATTACTTGGATAACAATAAATGTTTCAGTTGTGATACAATTGAAGGGTGTGGGGAGTGTAGCAACTCTGAGAAAGAGTGTTGGAAGTGTCAAAATTACTACTACAGTGTGGTCAATACATCTGGTTTGTTTTGTGTTGAATGTCACAAAAAAAATCCAAATTGTGCGTATTGTAGAACTGATGGACATTGTGCTGAGTGTGATAGTGAGTATACATTCAATAAACAATATGAATGTGTTGATTGTAAAAAGCATTTTAAGCATTGTGAGATATGCGATCACTCGGTTTACAGATGCTCTATTTGTAAAAATGGATATGGTTTCAATTCGGGTGATGTGTGCAGACCTTGTATTGAAATAACTCAGGGAAGGTGTACAATTTGTGAAAGCCAATTTAAATGTACAACTTGTTCTGAAAACCACTATTTAAAAGAAGGTAAGTGTATTCCTTGTTCTCAGAATCATTGTGAAAAATGTGATGCAAGTGGGTATTGTTTTATGTGTGAAAAAGATAACTACTTAGAAAACGGAAAATGCCATCCTAATGATATTGACAATTGCAATAAAGTGTCTACGGTGAAGAAAGAATGTTTAGAATGTGAAGTCGGGTATTATCCTAAAGATGGGAGCTGCTCCATATGTTCAACTTTTGGTAATAAATGTGAAGAGTGTAACACACAACAATGCACCAAATGTAAAAGTGGCAATTACCTCAACTCAAATGGAGACTGTTTTGAATGTAAGATGTTGGGGAACTGCACGGAATGTGAACAAACATCTTCAAAATGCACAAAGTGTAGTGAAGGGACTTTGAAAGATGGAATTTGTAACGGATGTCATTTGGCTGATTGTATTTATTGTAACATGACCAAAGAAAGTGGTTCAAGTCAAGCAGACACATGTTTGCTTTGTGGGTTAGGTTATCATCTTAATGGAAAAGATCAATGTGAAAAGAATTCTGTAAAGGGGTGTCTTGTATATGAAGTGAACAAAAATAAATGTACCAAATGTCAAGAAGGATATTACAATGAGAGTGATAATTGCCAAAAGTGTTCTTCATCTCTTGAACATTGTTCCACTTGTTCTGATAAAACGAAATGTCTCAGTTGTACGAGTGGATACTCATTAATCAACAACCAATGTCAAAAATGTTCACAACCAAATTGTAAAACGTGTTCAACAACATCCAATACATGTGACGAATGTACAGACTCGACTTATTATCTTACAAAAGAAGGGAAATGTGCCAAGTGTGATACAAATGGAAACGGCACTGACTGTCTCGAATGTTTAACATCAAGTGATGTCTTCAAATGTATCAAGTGCAATCTTGGGTCATATGTCAAAGATGGTGTATGTGTTAATCTGAACAAAAATGAATATAAATCTTCTGAAACAAGTGCAAGACTATGCAGTCGTCAAATAGCAAATTGTCACAGCTGTAATTACACATCAACGACTTCACACTTTGATGTCACAAAATTACAGTGCAAATCATGTGTAACAGGTACCGGATATCGTCATGGTTCGTCTACAAAAACGTGTGAATTCTGCCCGAATGAAGTTGATGATGATTCAAATTGCATTGCATGTGGCACGGGTTGTTCGTCGTGTTTTCTGTCCCCAGAAAACACTCCTTTATGTGTGAAATGTTCCAAAGGTTTTGCTCTTCGAAACAACACCTGTGTTGCACTCCAAAATATGGACTTTTGTTTAGACCAGAAACCCGATGTTGGTTGTGAGTCATGCACAAATTACCTCACAAAAGGAACAAATTGTTCTTCTTTGCAACGAACCAACAAATGTTCATTTTATAATGAAAAAAATGAATGCCAACCTTATCATCAAGTCCCTGAAATATTACCTCCAAAGCCAATTACAAGGTCTGCAAAAGCTGAAAAAAACAATTGTAAAACAAACGAATTTAAAAAGGGGAAATGTTATGCTTGTGCCAAAGGATTTTCACTTGACACATCAAATCCACCGACATGTTCAAATTGTAATTGTGTTGAGTGTAACATACTTAATCAGTGTAAAGTGTGTTTAAACGAAACAAATGATTATAATGGTACATGCGAAGATGACTCACAATGCGACAAGAAAGTCAACAACACGTGCTTGAAGTGCAAACAAAAACATTACTTAACAAAAGGAAAATGCTCAGGATGTTCTGATAATTGTTTACTGTGTTCAACCAACCAGGTTTGCACTTTATGTGCCACGGAATACGTTTTAGTCAACAACAAGTGTCTTTCACAGTCCGATGCCAAATGTCTTACTAAAAATACAAAGACGAATCGGTGCGAATTGTGTGATGATGGATTTTATATGGGAAACACCAACGAGTGTGTAGCAACAACCACAAAAGATTGTCAACATGAAATTAGTGGGAAGTGCAAATTATGTCAACCTTCATTGTTGCTTGGAATGTCTGATGGGGCCTTTGTTTGTACCAAGGATGCCAAAATAGAACATTGTGATGTGATGTATCGGTCTGGGTGTATTTCTTGTGAAAATGGGTTTTACATAAACTCACAAAAATGTGAAAAGTGTGATGGCAATTGTGCGAAGTGTGTGAACGCTTCTAAGCAGTGTATTTCCTGTTACTATGGGTCTTTCCTCAATTCGAAAAATAACACGTGCACTCCAATTGGTAAATTAAAAGATGTGTGCAGAACATTTTTCCCGACTGGTGGGTGTGCCGTGTGTCAAACGGGGTATTTGTGGCAAGAGAAGTCGTGTTATATATGTGATGTTAAGTGTAGTTCATGTTCTCGAACCACTTCGACTTGTTTGTCATGTAATTACGAAAAGGGGTATTATCAAAAAGACTCTCCGAGTGGTATAGAGTGCATTCATAACTCAACTTTAAAGAATTGTGAGGCTGGTGACAGATTGGGGTGCACGAAATGTGTTGATGGATATTATTTAGACTCCTTCAGAGACTGCATTCAATGCACTTCACCGTGTGCGTCGTGTACTTCACAAAATAATTGCATTTCATGTGTACCTGATCACGTCTTAGTATCGATACATCAGTGTGTGTTATACACAACAATTCCACGTTGCCTTACAGTGGAAAATAACAAGTGTACTTCGTGTGAAGGATACAATTATAGAGTGTCAAATAAAGGAACGGAGTGCCTTCAATACACCAATTTAGGGTTAGCGCTTGGTCTACCGATATCATTAGTTTTCATATTGATTATTATGATCATGTTTGGGCTCTTTGTCATTATTTTCTTCATCAGGAAGCATCAATACAAGAAGATGAAGGAGCGTACGGTGTGTGAATTTGATATCAGTCATTCAAATGTGAATTTTGTGTTGTTAAATAGTGAGTGTGGCTTGATTGCCAACAAGCGCGAATTAAACTTCTTAGTTGATCGTGTTGAGTCTGTTATACCCGTTGAAATTGAGTCTCGTGATTTGCTCTGTGTAGGAAACAAGTCTTCCAAGTCGTTAAAGATACAATTATCGACGAAGAACGCAACAGACAAATATGAAATTCGAACAAATCCGCAACTCATAACTCTGAAGAAAGGGAAGGCCGTTGAATTTGAAGTGTTTATTCGCCCATTGTGTACATGTTCTTTACACGAGAGAATAGCGTTGGTTGTATTGGACCTTCAAAAAGGGAAGCAGTTCGACGTGTTGATCAGTTTGAAGGTGAAAACAACAATAACGACTCGTCTTGACTATGACGAGTTAAAAGAGAAGAACAAAATTGGGGAAGGTTCATTTGGAATCGTCTATAAAGGGACATTCAGAGACAAAGAAGTTGCAATTAAGAAGATGAAAGTTGGATGTGCCACAACAAAAGAATTGGAAGAGTTCTTTAAGGAAGTCTCGATGTTAGACAAATTCCGAAGTGACTATTTAGTTCACTTCTATGGAGCTGTGATGATACCAAATAAAATATGTATGGTCAACGAATATTGTCAACACGGGAGTATTAAAGACTTGATGAAGAGATATCCCACAAAGATTCTGAGTTACTCGATGACTCTGAAATTCTTGTTGGATGGCGCAAAAGGGATTTTGTATTTACACGAAAATGGCATCTTACACAGAGACATCAAACCAGACAATTTCTTGGTCACTTCAATTCATGAAGACGTCCTCGTTAATGCAAAGCTGACTGATTTCGGGTCGTCAAGAAATATCAATGCTATTTACACGAACATGACTTTCACTAAAGGCGTGGGAACACCAAATTACATGTCGCCCGAAGTCCTTGATAAGAGACACTATAAATTCCCTGCCGATATTTATTCATACGCAGTTTCGATGTTTGAAATAGTCAAATGGGGGCCAGCATTCCCTAAAGGGAAATTCAAACACGCGTGGGATATCGCAAATTTCGTGACGAGTGGACAACGCCCGGAAATCGTCAAAGGAATGAGAGTCGATATATATGAAGTCATTTGTGACTGTTGGAAACAGTATTCAAGTAAGAGGCTGACCACCGAAAAACTCGTCTTTGAACTGAACAAGATGTACCAACAAGAGAAACTGAAGTAATTCATTTATTGAACTGAGAGTTCTAATTTACACATCAAATTTAACAATTAACGAGCTTTTTTTATGAATAATAAACAACTCGTTAATTTAAATCCATAAGACACTATTAATAACACCATTATTGAATAAAAATAGTCGTTAATTAATTTCAAGCAATATAAAAATAGCTCGTTAAATAAAAACACAGACGCCTGAGAATAGAATCGACTAAATAAAAGAACTATAAAAATACACAATGAGTTTCACATTTGCGACGAAGTTAGCTTTTAGTGTGATGGATGTGACCGATTCGAAAAAATTAAGTCTTGAAGAAGTCACATCGAAAATCCTCCCCTTGGTTGGAAATAGTGATATGGCCACTACCGACTGTATGGAATTTTTTTTCCAATTATGCGACTTGGACAATGACGGGTTTTTGAGTTATGAGGAATTCAACCATTTCATGTTTTGTTATGACAAATGCTGCGATAAAGGATTTGTTAAGATCAAGGCGGATTTGATTGTTGTGTTGTTCATTGAGATCTTTAGAGCGATCGACAGTGACATGAATGGGACCGTATGTTGCTCAGAAGTGACGCATTCGATATCTAAGCTGGAGTACTCGAACACAACGATGTTTGGTTATAAAGACATGTTTGTTGATATAAAGAACTATTGCACGACAAAAGGGCCGAACACCGAACTCACTGAATTTGAATTTCTATGCATCTCGATTAAGCCTGAAATTCTCTTCATGCATCTGGAAGCTAAGTACAAGACTCTTTTTAAGAAAATTGACAAAGAAAAACGGGGCTTTATTGATGCGAAAGAGATGCAAGGACATATCGTCGAGTTGTTATTTCCACGAGGGTGTGAAACTAAAAATGCGATCGACTTTTTGGTGTCCATTTTGGTGTCTTCAACAAAGTCCCAAAAAGTGCGAGTGAATCAATTTGGGTTCATCGTAGAACTCCTGAAAGACGTGTCGTCGGGAAGTACTTTTCTGACTAATCCAATGCTCTACGAGGCTATGTTTAGACTTATCGATAACAATTCTAATGGCGAACTCGATGGAGATGAGTTACTTCTGTTGATGAATACCGTCAAACTCCCTTCACAGAAAAAATCCATTGTAATGGACGCCTTTAAAACAAAACATACAATCACTTACACACAGTTCATCGACTTCTTCTAAGTGCAAATAGTCGAATTATTATATCAAAAAGAAGCATTGCTATTTACTATATAAAAATGGTTTCGAAACTATTAAATTACTATTCATTGTTCTTTTTTCTTGTGAAACCAAAAATTGTAAATTGTTCATTTAAACTGAAACTACTTTTGAAAAAAACTCTAAATGTACTTTTTATGTTGAACGTTTTTAATGTATAAAACAATGATAATTTCCCTTGTTTTATTATAAAACAAGATGTATTATCAATTATAGTACATTTCAATTAATCAAAATTATTACCAATATAAAAAGATTAAACTAAACCGAATTAATAATTATAATTAACCAATTAAAAACTATAAAATTACTAATAAAAAACGAATTAATATATAATAATAAAAAAGCTATAAAATATAAAAAGTAGTAAAAAGAAAACCTTGTTGCTGTGAAACTCGAATGTCCATCGGTTCCTTATGGTTTGTAGTTACATCACTGTATAAAAACGACTAATGGATAGCCAAAGCAGGTCAAAGATATTAAAGCACTCTTGAAGCTCTTCAAGAACTCAAGCATCCGTGCCGTCAGAATCAAGACCAACGGTGACAACATCAAATTCAAGGTCAGAGGTTCACAGTACCTTTACACATATGTCTGCACTGACAAGGCTAAGGCTGAGGAGATCAAAAAGGCTATCCCAAAGGAGGTCCACTGCGTCGAAATCACAAACAAACAGCCAAAGAAAGAGTAAGTAGGTGAGTTGTGTTGTCTGTTTGTCTGTCCGTCCTTTCTTCTTTTTTTTATATTAGTATAGTTTTTTATTATATTTTTACTATACACTGTTTAGGTTTACATTTTATTTTTTTGTTATTGTAAATGTTATTTGCTTTTTTTTTGATAATTTTTTGACAAAAGAATTATTAACAAATTATAAATGAACTAAAAAATTTAACAAACACAAGAAGTTTTTTTATAATCAAAAATTAGCTATTTTATCATTCCAAATACTACAAAAACGAAATGTTATTAATAAATACTAAAAAATGTTTTAAATTTATTATTAGGGAAAAGATTCAAAAAGTATTGAGGAACAAGTAAGTTATTATTTGAACTTCAAACAAAAATCCACAAAAACACATTGAAAACTTTTTCTCGGTCCGTTTTACTAAAAAACACAACTATAATTATAATTAATAAACTAATAAGAAAAACGTCCTCTTTTTTAGTTTTTGGGAATTAAAAGGTTAGAGAAAAAAGACCTGGATAAATTTTGTTAAAATTGATTATTGTTCTGAACAATTTGATATCCCAAAAATTGAGTGACTTTCTGTAGTTTTAATTATTTTGTAACGAAACGATTTAACTTTCTTATAAAAAAAAGGAAAACACATTTTTGAGAGAAAAGTGTAACACTCGTAACTAATTATAATACCAATTTTTTCGGTATTTTTATTGAAAGGCTAAGAACACTTTGAAATTGAGTAATTCATTGGGTATTTTCCCAAATAATTATGAAGTAAGCCCCTCTCAAAACTAAGAGACATGTTCCTCACTTCTCCACTAAAAAAATGCGTCGAAAATGGGAAAACAATGAAACAAGAATAACTGAATAACCACTTTCATATCAACATGGGATGGCTCTCAACACTCTTCTTTCATGTCTTTCCATGTTTGAAACCCAAAGATGTCCGGAAGACCCCACTACCTCCAATTTACTTATATGACGAGAAAAAGAACAAAAAGTTTCCGGGCAACAAAGTCTCGACGACGAAGTACTCGATCTTTTCTTTCATCTTTGTCTTCTTATATAATCAATTCAAACATGTCACAAACATCTATTTCTTACTCGTCGCCATCATCTCTTTGATCCCACAAATCTCCGCTACTAATCCTGTTACAAATGTTTTCCCTTTGATCTTTGTCCTCTGCATTTCTGCTATTAAAGAGATCATAGAAGACATCCGACGGTGGCTTGCTGACAGAGGATTTAATAATCAGAAGTACACAGCGATTAACTTAAACGATGGCAGCACTCTTGAAACAACGTCCGCTAAAGTAAGAACCGGCACTTTGGTCGAACTCCATACCAATGATAGAATACCGGCAGACTGTATTCCACTCTCTTCAACAAATGAAGACGGCGTTGTCTTTGTACAAACAGCAGCACTCGACGGAGAGACAAATTTAAAGGAAGTCTTTGTACCAAAAGAGATTGTGGGAAAAGACCCAATTCAATTGAGAGGAACACTTTATTGTAATCCTCCAAGCGAATACTTTAATGAATATAACGCGACGTTCCACTTGGATCTGGACGGACAAAACAAAGATGTTCCCGTTGGAAGTAACAACTTGTTGATTGGCGGGTCTGTCGTGAAAGATACAGAGAAGGCGATTGCCCTTGTTGTGCACTGTGGTATTCACACCAAACTCGCATTAAATCAGCCCAAATTACGGACGAAATTTGCACACACTGATTCGCGAATGAATCAATTTGTCTTTGGGATCTTTGTCTTTAAAATAATAATAGTCGCGATTGCTGCCGGGTTGAGTGGATGGTATGTCAATTACGTTGGAAGGGACTCGTGGTATTTGGACCTGAAAACAGTGAACATCGGGACGTACGTTGTGAAGACCTTTTTCAGGTATTTTGGGTTGATGTCATACTTAATTCCCATCTCGTGTGCCGTATCTCTTGAAGTTGCCAAATTCATTCAAACGATGTTCATGGAGAGCGACACTGATTTCCATGTGTATACTCTTGACGATGAAGGGAAGATCGTTGTGAATACCATGCAAGCGAAAACATCAATTTTGAATGATGAGTTGTCACTTGTCGAGTATGTCTTGTCTGATAAAACAGGGACTTTAACGTTTGTTTGTGGCATTGAATAAGAAAAAACCTAATGAAAAAGGTATTAACACACAGAGAAAATATGATGCGCTTCAAAAAGGCATCGGTTGATGGCGAATTGATCGACGGGAAAGATCTGATGACTAAATACAAAGCCCATTACACCGTCGAGAACCCAAAAATGTTTGAAGACTTGATTCAAAACATATTAAATGGCCACGTGGAGACGGACACCAAAATCGCGATGAGAGAAAATGTCGATGTGAAGCATGCAACACAAATCGAAGATTATTTGTTGGCACTTGCGTTGTGTAATGAGGCAAGACCAAAAATAGAAGGTGACAAGATGATGTATCAGTCACAATCCCCAGACGAAATTGCTTTGTGTGATCATGCCTTGGAGTGCGGGGTAGTCTTTTTCAAGAGAACACAAACAACAATGACCGTCTCGTTATTTGGAAAAATACTCGAGTACAAAATCCTCGACGTGTTCTCATTCAACTCGGACCGGAAGAGACAAAGTGTTGTCTTGGAAACGCCTTCCGGAGAAATCGTGTTGTACACTAAAGGAGCGGATTCGATAATTGCTGCTCGGATGGATAAAGAAGACAATTTCGTTCCAACAACAGACCACCTCAATTCATGCAGTGAAGTTGGTTTGCGTACGTTGTTAGTCACCAAAAAGGTGTTAGAAAAGGAGAAGTACGACGAGTGGAAAGCGCGGTATGTGACTGCTGAAAACACGTTAGAGAACCGTGAAGAGAAGGTTTCTGTCTTACAAGACGAGTTAGAGACCAATCTTAAGCTCGTTGGGATGACAGCGATAGAGGACAAATTACAAGACGGCGTTCCAGAAACGATTGAGTTCTTGATACGTGGTGGTATTAAAGTCTGGATGATTACTGGAGATAAAGTTTGTTGTTTTTACAACTATACGGATCTATCAAGTTCTTTTCATCACTTTAAATGTACTTAGAGAGATACTTACAAGTAGGTTGAAACAGTTTGTTACTCAAATAAAAGAATAAATCGTATAATATATTATATAGTATATATAGTATATATAGTATACTACGAAATACTATAATTATAATAGTAATATTATTATTACAATAACAGGGAATAATAGGTAGGCTATTAATATCGGACTTTCATGCAATTTGGTCACGCAAGACACTGAACTCTTCAAAATACGGAATGCGGGCGATGAGGTTGAGAACAAAGAGGAATTTATATTAAATCGGTTAGAAGAAGTATATAAAGAGATTAATGAGAAGAAAGAAGCGTGGAAGATTGAGAACACGACTAAAAAGATTGGGTGTGTCTTTGAAGCTGGTGCGTTGCACATAATGATGGAGCATGCGCTTCCGTTATTTTCGAAAGTTGCCATTTCCAGTGATGTCGTGATATGCAGTCGTGTGACACCCAAACAAAAGGCGATGATTGCGCAAACTGTGAAGAGAGCTACCAAAAAAGTTGTGTTAACCATTGGTGATGGTGCCAATGACGTTGCCATGATCAATGAAGGAGATATTGGTGTTGGGTTGTTTGGCAAAGAAGGGACACAAGCTGCCCGAGCGAGTGATTATGCTCTTCGTAAATTCCGACATGTCGCGAAGTTGATTATGTTTCATGGTCGGCAGAGTCTCTTACGGAATGTGACGCTCATTAAAATGTGTTTCTACAAGAACTCGTCGTTCTTTTTAATTCTTTTCTGGTACTCGTTCTTCTCGGGGTATTCCGGGATGTCAATGTACGACGATTACACAATGACTTTCTTCAACATCTTTATCACTTCACTTCCCCCCATTTTCGTCGCGTGTACTGACAGGGATCTTCCTTATCAAGTGATCAAAGACAACCCAGAAGTACACAGAAGAATATTATTAGGAAGTCGAATGTCCATTTGGAGTTTCTTAGATTGGTTACAACAAGGGATATGGCAGAGTTTAGTCATCGTCTTTGAATATCACTTCATTATAGGGCAAACAGACATTTTTGCAAAGAATGGGATCCCTGGGGGATGGGCTGTCGTTTCAATGTACATCACCTTCTCAGGCTTTTTCATGGTCTTTTTCACCTTAATGACACAAGTCAAAACGTGGAACTGGTGGACCGTGTTCTCCTTTGTCATTTCATTCCTCCTTTTTATCCTCTTCGTGCTCCTCATCGCTTACTTCCCAGGTCTTTCAAATCGAGACCTCTCACGTTTCGTGTTCTCCGCTGTCCTCGCTCAACCTTATTTCTATTTCCTCACGTTCTTCTCGTCTGTCGTCGGAGTCGCTCCAAACATCATCAGACTGATGTGCATGCGGTACTTCGCTCCAAACTACTACATGATTCTCCAGGAAATTTACAACAAAAAGCGGTTCGAAGGCTATGGCAAAGACCGAAAAATCGTTATTGAAGGAACGGAAGAGGCCCACGAGTACTACAGCGAACTCTCCAAGTCAAGGCCTCTCTTCAACAAATTACCACAGGTCCCAAAAGAACTCGCAGTCATCGACGAACAACACGACAATTAATTTACCTTTGTTTGCTGTTGTCTTCCTTTTTCACTCCCATTGAGAGTCTCAAACAATAAGTAAAAATCTAAATTAGTTCAGACCGCTGTTTCGACATCCGCCAAGAAAGTATTCGTCTGCTTGATGACGATGTCGTCGTAGGGGGTCTGTTGTTCAAGATCAATGACGCCCTGTGTTTTCAACACAAGCAACTCAAAGAAGCACCCAACGACGGGCTTTCTCCTCTTTCCCTCGACAAACGTTTTGTACGACATCTCCTTCTTGTCGCCCATTGCCTTTTTCAAGAAGTTATGTATTTTCGCCGATCTCATTGTCCAACTGTCTGTGACCGTTTTTTGCTTCTTTTCCTCTTCGTTCATTTCGTGAATGTCTTCGTGTTGTTCCAGTGGAGGCTCGTTCATGAAATCGTTGTTGATGACATCTGGCATATCGTCTTGCAATGGCATAATCTCATTTGGTATCACGTCTTCGACTCTTCTTTTCTCCTCGGAGCTTTCTTGCGAGCCTTGAGACTTTCTCTTGATTGGCTTGACCTCTCCTTCTATCGCTCGTGGCAGTTCTTCATCCCGCTTTGCTTCTTCAGTCTTCTCCTTCTGGCTCGCCTCGACTTCTTTTATCTCGTGAACAACAACCTCATCCTTGTTGGCTTCCTTCACGTAGTTGAGAATTCTCTTGTTGACATTCTCCCATCGTCCTCTCAGTCTTCTTCCCTCCTCTCGGAGTTCGTCAATACTTCCCGGAGCCAAGTCAAAGTCTCTCAACATACTTTCTGTGTCATTCTTAGCTCTCGTGTACCTCTTTTTAGTTATGGCGGTCGCCTTGTCGACAATGATCTTCTTCTCCTTCCTTCCCTTTTTCTTCTTGTCATCGACTTTTTCTTCTATTTTTTCGTCGCCCTTAAGTTCGGTTGTTCCGGCATTGTTGTCATTCAGTCCAATTTCGACTTCCATCTCGCCAACAGGCATTTCGACCTCGGGCATCTCTTGATTGTCAGGCAAAACGGAGAGGTCGGTCGGGACCTCAGGTAAGAGGGAGACCTTTGGTTCGTTCAAAGAGTCGTGCAAATTCTCCTCTCCGCTGACGGCGGAAGCCAAACCGCCCATAGTTGTTTCAATGAGTTCTTTGTCTACGGGGTGGATGAGTTCTGTTGGCATGATGGACTCCGCTGTTCTCAACACGTCTGGGTCGTTCAAGAGTTCGTCTAAAGTGTTTAATGGGACCTCATCCATTGATCCCATTCCCACCAATTGTCCTACTTCTTGTTGCATAGTAATGTCCTGAGCATTTGCCGTATAGTTTCCCGTCGCATCGATAACATCGGCGGCATTCAACTGTTCGTCCAATTGAAGATCAAGCGCTAAGTTGGCGAAGTTCATGACATCGGCAGTGCTCTCTTCGCTGAAATCGCGCTGACGTGTTGGAATTGTAATGGCATTCCGGGGAGCTACCGCTTTCTCCGCATCTACCGCACCAGGGCGGAAGGACAATTTGATCTTGACCAACGCATCATTGCAGTCTTGCAAGAGATACTTCACCTTTCGCGTGTAAATTCGACAGATGCCAAGAAGAAGGTGGCCACTAATACGAAGAGCGATCGGAATCTCAGGATTGGCAACAGCGTTTGCAGCTTCACGTAAGTCAACTTGAAGAATTTGCTGTTTAGTAAGCTTCCCTTCCCAATGCGCAGCTATCCATACCTTCGCAAGTGGGCCTTTCTTCGTTAATACTACTTGGGAATAAAACATTTTGTTTGGGATTTCGAGTTTGTTATTCTTTTCCAAATTATTTTTCACTTTCCTAAAAAGAGAAAAAGATTGTGGAAAATGTGTTTTTAAAAAAATTGAGGAATTGGGTTTTATGTTTTTTTTTGGTATTTTAAATGTTATTAAAATGTTATTAAAATGTTATTAAAATGTTATTAAAATGTTATTAAAATGTTATTAAAATGTTATTCATTTGTTTCAAATACAATGTGAGAAATTATTGGTACAGTCACAAGTGGTGAAGATTAATGGTGAAGAGCATGTATATAAATAAATTAACTTGTAGTTTTCATGGAAAAAACATTGTTAGGAAGGAAGAACAAGTTGGAGAAAGAACGAATTATGAAAATAAGTGAACAAATAGAATTGACCTCAAAAATAAATAGTTGTTATGTCATAGGGCGAAACAAAATTGGAAGTATTTAAACAGAAGAAAAGAATTCATAAAGACACTTTTAATGGATAAGACACAAAAAGACTTCAATGTCACTATTTTTACGGCATATTTGAAAACACTTTCACTCTCGTTGAGAAGTACAATTGTTAACCAGAAAACACAGTCTCAAGAATTGATTATGTCTTATAGTATTCAACTCAAAGGATCTCACAAACAACAGAAAGACACATGCAAAAAGATGTTAAAAGAATTGAAAGTGACTTTAGAGTCCAGGGAAAAAGAATTAAAGAATATCAGTGAACTTCTTTTGTTACTTGAGAACACTTCAAAAGACTTGAAAGAGTTTTTGAACAATGAATTGAATACATACAACAGTTTAGCCAAAAAGGGAAACCAAGCTATTGACACTTTTGTAGCCAACGCTTTTTGCCAGTCAGATTCACCAAAATGTATTGGTGACTTAATTCAATTCGAGAAGAAACACAAAGAATTCAAGGATGACTGGGAGAAGTGTAAAATTACATTACTGAATGAATCTTATTTTTTATCAAAGAAAAAGGAAGAGGACGATGGAAAAATAAAAGCACCTTTGAGTAGGAAATTGGAGAGAACCAAAGTCTATTTAACACCTGAAGACTCTCCTCGAATTAGACAAAGCTGTTACGATGGAGTAACAAGTGATATAGGAGAAGTTAGTAACTATCCTAATAGTCTGAAGAAGAGTCAAGTATTTTACAATCAAAATGATAATGGACTTAAGACTCATATCAAAACAATTTCTCTTGCACAACCATCAACAAAAGATAAGAAGACTAGACATTTGACTGAGCAAGTCAAAATGTTCGAGAAACTTGCTCTTCCAAAAGGGGAAACACCTTTATCAGAACGACTTAGATATGAACAGAATGAAAGTAAAACAGGAAGTGAGTACAGTTCAGTCTCGCCACGTAAAGAACAAGAAGAAGAGAACAGTCTAATGAAGCTTCAAAGTTCACAAAACAAGAAATTCTCGTTGTCAGACTCTTCAATTGTATCTGCACTAATGAAAGACCCCATGATGGAAGCTATATTAGAAAATGAGCCCAAATTATTAGAATGGTCAAAATGCACAAAATCTTCAATTATTTTAGACACCAAATTTTGTGACTTGTTGTCGACTTCCTTTGAAGAAAGAGTCTCTAATCTGTCTTTCTTGTATTTCTTAGTTATCGACAACAACAACATTTTGGGTGCGTTTGTCAAACCTCCATTAGACGCTGACCACAGGGTAGTCAATGACACCAAACACTTTGTTTTCTGGTTGCCTGAAGGTAAAACCCCAATGAAAATAGAACCCAAGCCAAACAGGTGGAAGAATGTATTTACATTAAATTCGAGTGACTCTTCTGAGTTATATGTAGTTGGTGAGAATTGTTATACAGTGGGTCAGCCTGGGGGTAAAGTGACTTTTAATACGTTCTGGACTGATTATGAAGGTATTGATAAGAAGTGTTTCTCTTCGATCAAAAAAGGTATAAAAATGGTTGATCGGGTGATAGTAATTCAATGTTATTAATAAATTTAGTTGTTCATAACAAATAGAACATTATATAATACTCAATCAATAAAAACACGTAGTGTTATGGGTAATAAGCAGGACTTAATTTTGCAAATCGTTTCTTGGCATGAGCAACAGCCCAGTATCCCGGTTGAGAGACTCTGACGACGTGAATACACCCCCAACTGTCTTTGACAGAGACTTGATGACGAAGTGTTGGATGGAAGTATAGAGCATACACTTCATTGGATTTGGTATCACAATGAATGAAATATCCACCAGAATCTGTCTCAACGGTGTAATAACTCTTGGGGTTAGTAATTCCATTGTATGCAAAGACCTTGTCGATATTAATTTCAATAATACTTTCCTCTGGTTGTTTGCGGCGCGTTGAAAGCATTATTTTAATAAAGTTGATTGGGTTCTATTTATATAGTAAGAACCCATTTTATGTGAAGTCTAGGTATGGTTATGTATAGTTCAATTTACTAGAGTTGTTTTGTCATAAATAGCTATTTTTTAATGGGAACAAACCCTATTTTTTATTCCCGATTATTTATAGTAATAATGTGGACTATGTTTTTAGTCATCATTGTTTGACATTTTGTATTTTTTTATTTTTTTATTGGTGTAATTTATGTGTTTTTACGGGAAATTATACTATATATTTTAAAAATCAAGAGAACCTCATAAAAATCGCCAAAAAGTGAGAAATTAAAAAAAAATATATTTCTTTGTAATTTTAATAGTACTTATATTATTATTAATAACACATTTTAAAGAACCCTAAAAATTGAAGCTCCACCTTAGCTCCAATTCAAAATAATAACAAAATTATTTTTTTAATAAAATTAAACTAAAAAATGAGCCAATAAAAAAACTAAAATTATTATTTGGTTTTACTATTAATAGCTGTTCAGCGACTTTACAGTTTCTTTAAAAATCGCCAACTTTATAGTGGTCTTAAAAGTCATGAACTAAATATTTAGTTAAATAACTATTCAAAATACCATTTATCATGTGAAAGATATTCAAAAAATAAACCATATAAATTTAATATAATTAATATTAAAAATAGAAATGAAAAAACACTGTCCCAATTATATCTTCTCAAATTTTATAAATTATATTTATATGATTATAATATAACAAATTATAACAATTATTGTGTTTTTACACATTTTTGAGACAATAATGAATATGGTATAATTTATTAAAGTTAATAGTTATTTAGTTCTAAAAGAAGTCGGCGACTTTTGAAAGGATCCAATAAGTCGCCGAACAGCCATAACTATGGATCCCAACTAGTTAATTTTTATAATAAAAATAATTATAAACAATAGTAATAAAAAAACGACAAACGATCAATTTTGTTTTCTATTTTTTAAACACACAATTCGGTTTTCATAAATTTTGAAAACGAACTAAAAAAAATTGAAAATTCAGATGGATCGGATCAAACGTCCACTTCCGACACAATTTCCTTTTTTTTGTGCTTTTAGCTTTTTGCTAATAGGTGGTGGGAAGGTCGTTTTATGGTTTGTTTTTATATCCCCAGCAGATAATTTGAAATGACAAGAAGTATTGATTACCTCGCACAAAACACATTTTGGGAATTACCAGCAACAGCTTTTATGATGTATAATTGGGTATGGCTTTTGGGTACAATGATATATCTCAACATGACCGACCCAGGATATATGCCCAAGTTCAGTCCTTTCTTATGTCAAGTCAATGACACATACAATGTACAGTACAAGTCTTCTACACTTCAGCGCACCACATGTAGTTTGTTACTCTCCCTGTAAAAATATTTAATAGTACCGAACTGTATTATTAAATATAAATAAAATATAGTATATATATAATATATTATATAATATATATAAAATATAGTACAAGAATACTCACTGTGCAGGGACGTGTAATTTGGTTCGACCACTGCGAGCGAGTCACTGTAAAATGTGTAATAGATGTGTTAATGAATTTGACCATCACTGCGGGTGGATTGGAAATTGTGTTGGTCAGCGAACAAAGGCAAGATTTTTTATGTTTGTGACTCTGGTCTTTTTTAACAGCATCTTCGGGTGGTTAATCACGTTGTGGTATTTAATCAAAGTTGATATGTCGTTTAAAGACAATATCTTTGTTATCGTCCTTTTCTTGATATTGTGTGTCACCAATTTGTTACTCTTTGGACTCTTCATATCACACGTGTATTTATTGGCTTCTGGAAAGACGACGTATGAGAACATCAAATGGTCCAAAATCGCAAGAGAGAAATTGGAAAGTTTTCTGAGCCAAAATGGGATTGAACGGGAGTGCAATTGTCAATGTAAAAAGTGTAAAGAGAGGAGGGAAAAAGAAGAGAAAACAAAGAAGGAAAATAAGAAAGATAATGAACAGATCATCGACCCCTTTTCTGACGACCAAATTAAAGCAAAGGAAAGTCAGTGGAAACGAGAAAAGGATTTAAGAAAACAGTACGCTTTAACACATATGAAACAAACGTCTCCATTTAATAAAGGACTTAAAAACATATTTGTCACACTTTTTAAACAAACACCACCCTCTTTTTTGTACTAATTCAATTCGACTTGTTGAATTGCATTTTCATATCAATTATTGTATAATTGATATTATAAATTTTCTATACAAACTAATTTAAATTAATAATAAAAATTTTGAAGTATTTTTAAATTTAGAAAAAAAAGAAAAAACTTTTGAAGTTTTGTTGAAATTCAAATCATCGAAATGGCCAAATTTTTCTTTTAGAAATTTCAAAAGATTTTTTATTTTTTTCAAGATAAGAATAGAAATCTTATTGTCTTGTATTGTTTAATCAACACATTACTAAATAATTTCTAAATAATACTAATAATAAATAAAATTTTAACTCTTCTTCAATTCTTCTGGTCCATGTTTGTTTATAACAAGGTGTTGAAAGTAAAACAAATAATTTACGTACATCTCTAGTGTTCTTATTTCACTTGTGTTAATACATCTCAACAGGTTTTGGAGCCTTGAGTGTAGGGGTTAGTATCTGAACCCAGTATTGTAAGGTTGACGGTGTCAAATCTTTATACGTTTCCGGATTATTAGTTGTTAAGTATTTAATTGCTCGAGTTAACCCCATTTGATGGAATATTTTGACTGCATTCACTTTGATGGCTTGGCACCACCGTTTTTTCCTTTGAATGACCTTTCTTGGCTTAGTCCCGTCGTAAACTTGATATGTTGAAATATCTGAGACTTCGAATACTGACATGTTTGTTCTTCTCATCACTATTGAATAAGAGATACTAGGTCTTGTTTTTATACAGTTTGGATCAAAAAGTACTCTTGAGTTCCTGCAAACAAATTGTCGAACGACGTTTTCATTTTTGGTTGTGTTTCAATTAAACTTCGGACTTTTCAAAAACCCTTTCGTAATTTTTTGTTTTTATAATATAAAAGAATAAAATAACTTTGTGTGGAACAAAAAACCGTAGTTAGAATTTATCTTTATTGAAAAAACTGCCAAAAGAATTCTTATTTCACTAATTGACATTTTGTCGTATTCTATTTGTGTTTTTGGACAAAATAAAAAAAAAGTCACATTAAATTGTATTTTTTACTAGTTTAAATTAATTATTTGAAGTTATTCAAGTGAATAATTGAACAAATTGTAAATACACCGAACTTCAATGAAATTCAAATCATAATAACTTCTCTCAGTAATTTTAGAATTAATTTTATTAATATAATTAATAACATAATAAAAACACTAAATATAATCTTGGTTGCATTTATTTTTAATATAAAATTAATAAACAAATTATATAAAATAAAACTTTTTTTTATGAAAATATATGTATAATTAACAATAAACTATATTTAATAATAAAACCATGTAAATAAATATATTATTATTATTATATTATTTTTAAGCTATATTTTTATTTTGATATTTCTATGATTATATCAAATTTAATTAATTCAAAAACTATGTAATGTGTCATTCTGTTATTCAAATGAATGACAGAATGAACACCAAAAACTTTTAAAACAATTTTTAAAATAACAAAGTGTATTTTCATTTTACAGTTTTATAAAAAATACGAGTAAAAAAAAATCAAAAAAACACACTTTTTTGTTTAAGATTTAAAAATAACAAACCATATTAACAGAAATAGTAAAAACGTATATCAAATTATTTGAAAAAAATGAGTCTTTAAACTTATTATATTCAAATATGTCTTTACATTAATTATAATCTTATTTTTTAATTATCCATAACAAATAATTCTATTAATACTATTTAATATTGTATTATACTTTTATTAATTAATTATGATTGACCGTAAAACGATTAATTAATTAGCTATGTTTACTATTAATTAACTATAATTTCATTCTTTATGTTACTCTCTTCTCTTTTCATATTTCCTTTCGTCCTGTTATCATTGGCTTTGTATCAGTTTTTCAACCCATTCCATATGCAGTCCTTCGAATTATCATTTGAATAAAAAAACACAAATTAAATTACTTCAATACGATCTTCTTGATGATTTTAGAGAATCTATCGCCTTGGTTGTTTGGGCACCTCTTAACTGAGTTACAACAGAATATGACGTTCTGTGCTTTCAAGTGTTCCACGTCTCCGATTCTGTCGATCAAAAAGTCGATAGACTCGAGTTTGACGATATAAAACCCTAACACGTCTGCCTTAAACTCTTTCGCTGTGGTCGAAATGAAGTTGTCGAAGTCTTTGATTTCAGCGTGGACGTTTGATTCCTTCAACCAACCCTTCACCACTTCTTCGGACGACGTCCCACATACCATCATTTTCTTCGTCGACTTCCCACGACGACAAGAATGTAACCAAGAGATCACTTCCTTCTTTTTCGAACCGTTCCGAACATCGTTGGCGTCATTCTCTTCATACCGAAGTAACTCAAATGACGTCGACAAATGCGAATTGTTTGCTTGAATGTAGGCGGAAGCATCGTCACATGAACTGTCGTCCCGCGACTTCTCGTCTAATTGCGTCGTCATCCTCGTCAAGACATCTACACCTAGGGGCTCAACCATATATGATTCTGTCTGACACTTTACAGTTCAGTTTCGACTCATTTACTTCTTCAATTTACTTTTTTCTATGGTGTCCGACTATTTACTATTTCCAGTCTAATATTTTATTAGCAATTTGTTATTGATCCTTGTCAACAAGCTGTTCACATGGTGTGGGTTGAATTGTAGTATTATTTTAATTAAATTGTATGTATTTGAATAGAATTCTACTGAAATTCAAAAACAAAGACAAAACCTTAAAAATCGTATTATAATTAAACTATTGTTAATTATAGTTAAATTGTTTATTATAATTTGATCTGATTTAATATTCAATATTATTGTGTTTATTGATTGAAATTTTGATATTTGTTTTGTTTTAATTATTACTTTATATACTTTATCATTATTTAAACAACTAAAGTAATAAATCTGAATGATATTTGTAATGGTTTCATTTTATATATGTATAAAATAATTAAGATGTGTTTTATTCTGATTGGCTTTTTATAGAGCTTTAATCAACTTTACAAATACAAAAAACAATTAAAATTTTTATTTTGTTAACCAATGAGGTTTATTTGAGTTTAAAACACATTTTGAATAAAAAAAATAATTTTGTTTGATTTAATGGTGTTGATTATGAAATTAATAAATTATTATTTTTGTATTGTCTTAAATATATTTTTATTTAATTTTATTATTATTACTTTTAATTATAATATATTTTAATTATTATATAGTTTGTATTCCTATCTTGTTCTATTTTATAAAAAAATACCATTATATTTTTTTATTATTTAAACAATAATAATATTTAGATAGAAAAATAATCACAAAATGAGATTGAGATGTTGAAAAATAAGCGAAATAAATGACAATTTGAGGCAAGAAAACCATGGGAAAACAACAATGGAAGGGACTAAGGAGTTACATCCACTTGCGCGCTCATGGACGTTCTGGGTTGACGACTTTGCCATAAAAAATGCAAGTATGGAGGAATTTGAGAAGAATTTGAAAACAATCGGCACATGCCACACGATCGAAGGGTTTTGGAACCTATTTGGGACTCTCCCATCAATAGAGCTTCTTCAAGACAAGAAGATCACTATTCATTTTATGGAAAATGGAGTCAAGCCTTTGTGGGAGGACAAGAAGAATATTAAGGGTGGGACAATAACAGTTAAGTGTCCCAAAGAAGAAACTGCAATTATCTGGAAAGAGCTTCTCGTTTTGGTCATCTCGAACAAAGACTGCGAAACTATTCACAAAGGAAAAATAAATGGTGTTTCTGTCTCGATGAAAAAAGCAAACAACTTAATTGGCATTTGGGTCGACACCAAAGACAGCAATTTCAAAGACAACGTCATAAAGTTCATAGTCGACTACTTTCCTGTACTTGATGAGGGTGATGTGGGCTGGAAAGAGAACGCAGAGCACATTACAGACAACCAAATATAGTCACAAAATATTTAATTTATGAAGTCCCATAATTCAAATTTTTTATTCAGTAATAAAACAAATCAGACCAAAGACATAAAAAAAAGAAGGCAATGTGATGACAAAATCCTCTAAATAGGTTGCATTGTTGGTGTGGAAATTCAAACCCTCTACATGATGACGTGTAACAGTGCTGATAACTTGGTTCTGATTGCTTTTTTTAATAATTAATAATATTAATAACCGTGTAATATATCATTTGGAACTCCTCATAATTATTTTGACACAATAGATGATAATCAATTTATCATCTATTTTGAACAAAATCCCCATGATTTTTCTCCGATTATGATTTTTTTTAAAAACACTAAACTATAACAATGTTATATATAACTATAAACCCACAGACTAAAGACGTGATTTCAACTTCCACAAAACTCGGAAAAGTGATAAACACAAAATCTCAATGTCTGAAATGCGTGTGCCGAGTCTTCACACACCAAATCACTCGATCACACTTCCTGTCGTCGATACACAGGCCTCGCAAACGCCATTTCGCACTCATAAAAGAAACGCGTCAGCTATACCAAAGGGTCTTGACAGTGCCATTTTGGTTTCGCGGAGTCGGAGCGTTGGGGAGAGCCGGTCTGTCATTGTAACTGTTTTAAGTCGCGCCACCAAGTCTCCCTCGGACGAGAGTCCACCCCCTTCCGCAAACACTTCGAACCCCAACGAAACAAACGAAACAATAGAATCTGTACAAACAAGTCAACAACCAGAAGAAATCCAAAGTGAAATTAACAGAGTAATTGGCGATGAAAAGGTGATGAAAAAAGAAGTCATATGTGTTGAACCCGCTATCGTTAAAAAGAGTCATATGAGTAGAAGCCTGTTAGAGAGTAAAGACTTGAGTACGATCTCCCAACAAATACAATCAAAACTTGAAACAACAGACCAGAACTATAACAGTCAACAAGACACTGGACTGTTGTCGCCTAGAGGTGTTAGAATCGGTGTGAAGAGAAAACAAAGAACAGGAAATGTATCTTTTTAATTTTGTACGTATTGACTTTTAGAGTTTTGGTGGTAATATAGTTTTAACTGAAGTTCATATTAACAAAAAGAAGAGAAGTGTTGGCTGGTTATACCGTTTTGTTGGAGTTTTTCGGGATAAAACAAATGCTATAAATTATAATTTAAAAAACTATTACATTAATACTTTAATTTGCAAGAACAAATAAAGTGTTGAAATAACATTTATTAATAAATTTAGTTATAAAGAATTATATAAATAGAAATTGTTATCTTAATTAAGTCTCTTATTATTTATTTGAAGTTCTAATACAAATAGTATTGAATAGAGCAACTTGGCTCGATGATTCATCTGTTACATAAACATTATTCATTACGTATTTTAATTTCACGATATTACTACAGTGTTTAAAGAACAAAACCTGTTAAGAATTATTTTTTGGAAATTGTTTCTGTGTAAATAATTAAAAAAAATATAAATAATTGGAAAAAATAAGTCATATTGTTGTGATTCACCCTTCAAAATAAGTAAGTTGAATTCGGGCAAACTTAGTTACCTTTTTTTTATTAAAAACCAATTGTATTGAATCAAATCTACCACCAAAAATGCAAGTATTACATAAATGATAAATTGATGTGTATTTTCGATTAAAATAAATTATAATAATTGAATTTCGTCAATACTTTGTTATTTAATTTGAGTATTTTTATTTTAAAACTACCCAAAAAGACATTAATTTTACACCATGTATTAAGTGACAAAGGCGCATTTATCAAAAAGTAAAAAATAAATAAAAATGAAAAATATTTGTTTTCAAAAGATGTTCAATTCAACCATCTGAAGTTTTCTTTTCCATTATGAAATTATTATCATTGAAGTTCAAAGACTTCAATGAAAAAACTAGTGATACAAAAAAATTAAAAAACATAAGTACTCAATAAACTAAATTATTAGAGGTTAATAATTGGAGTGTTTTTTTTTCTAATATTATTGACCAATTATAGAATTTTATACCTTTTGTTCTTAAAATAAAACTACCTTTTTTGACTTAAACAATTCTTTTATATACCTCTTTTGTGATTAGATGAAAAACTCGAATAATACATGTCAAGCTCTGTGTCTCACGTCCCTCACGTTTCAACGAAAGGTTACAAAGGAAAAAGTGTGTCAGAATCGAAAAGGAATTTGTTTTGTTATAATTCCAACTCTCCATCACCTCGAAACTCTTCGGAAAGTACTCACACGATTACATTGACCATTTCAGAAGCAAAACATCCAGAATTCAAAATCGCACGTCCAAAGGCAACAACAATGCCACAAACAGATTCTCCAGCTTCTCCAAAAGTCCAATCCCCTCGAAGATCATTTATTGGAATTAACAGAACACAAACACCATTACGGCTTAGTTTCATTGAAAAGGTTGAAAAACAAGAAATTAAAGTTCGAAAAACTTGTTTTCACGTAAAACCTCTCCCTTCTATTGTATTTTCGTTTCAATCTGAAAGTGCACCAAACACGGACAGAACTGAAAGAGTCACAGAGGTGGCCCAACAGATTGATTCATAATAATTTATTCGTTAGTATTAAATCAGTCAATTTAAAATTACAAAATTTTAACTAAATAAGAAAACTATAATAAACAATGATTTTAATAGTAAAACACTATTTCAGTATACACCAATTAATTTTTGGTCTTTCATTGATTAAACATAGCAATATGACAATGATTATATTTACAGACAATGTTTAGTTCTTTTCAAGATAATTGGTGTGATGATACTTGAAGTTGAATGTTCTTATTTTTAGAGACATTTTGATTTGTATAATTGTGAATAACGGGATTACAGATGCAAGAAAAAGTGGTTGTCATAGAAAAAGTAGTTGTCAAGAGTATAAAAAAGTATTTTTATTAATTTATTTTTAATAATTATAAATTGTTAGTTGTTTAACAAGCAAAATTACGGGAAAGCAGTGGTGATTTGGATTGATTTTTCAGAAAGTGGTTGTCAAAAGGATGAAAAAAATAAAAAAGACTATTTTTATATAAAAAACAGAAAAAGCACAAAAATATTTTACTCATCTTCAAAATCAAAATTGACTGCACCTTGTCGTCTCGATATAAAATGAATTGATGTGGGGGATGTGCAATTTATTATGAATAAGTTGGGGATGTGTAAATCAAACAAGCAAAAATCACGATTATCAGGTTTGTATATTAATAACGTTGAAAACGAATAATTAATCAATAGACATTCATTAATAAACAATATGTAATATGACATATATTACAAATATGACATTTTGTTATGAAAACTGTTGTTTGTGTTCAAATTAACCAAACGTTTTGTGCTGATTATTGTTTTCATTGTCTTTATCTCCTACTGTAGTAAGGTTCACCAAAAAAAACAAATATACTTCATTTAATAAGTCTTTTCCAAATACATAATTTTTATTATTGTTAAAAGTTTTAAATATTAACATTATAAACATTTGTTTAATACTTTATAAAAACATAAAACAAATTAGTTAATATTTATTATTTCATTTGATAATTGACTTACTCAGTACACTGGGAAAATTTTTGAAAAAAAATCGATTTTTTTTTTGCTTTTAATAACATTATTTTCATGACAACCACTTTTTCTATGACAACCAATAATTCTTCTATCTGTATATTAACACTAAAAAAAATTACTTTAAACAAAAACCAAGTGTCTAAATTTCGGGAATTGTTGAGTTTATTAGATAGTTTTCCTGTTTTTTAAAAGTTTATTATGTGCATAACATTACGCTAATCAAAAAGGAAAAAAACACCCAAAATTGAATAACAAATCTCTTCAAAAAACAAAATGTTTATTTTAGTGTTCTAGACTATATAACAAACATGTATTATATGTATATTATAAAATATAATACAACCAAATAGGAATGAAGGTGATTTATATTAATTGACTTTAAACTTAATATCACCGGTGGCGAAGAACGCAACGATTTGTCTTGCAGCAGCCAAACCAGAATTGACATTAGCCTCTTCAGTTTCTGCTCCCATCTTTCTCGGAGTAGTGAAGTATCTTCCCTTAAACTCCTCGAACTCTTTGCTAGCTGGGGCGATATCAGTGACATATTTCAAGTCCTTTCTCTCTTTCATAGCTTTAATAACTTCTTCTTCATTAATAATTTCCTTTCGGGCCGTGTTGACCAAAAGTCCATTCTTTGGCATTTTCATCACCAAATCGTACCCAATAAGTCCTTTTGTTTCTTTAGTAGATGGCATGTGGAGGGAAACAATTTGGTTTTGAGCAAAGAGGTCCTCAAGTTTCTCGACTTTTCCTTCCATCTTCAAATATGGATCATAAATAGCAACTTGCATCCCAAAACCTTCGGAAATTTTCTTCACACATTGTCCGACATTACCACACGCAGCAAGACCAAGAGTCTTTCCTCTTAATTCAATACCAGTACCGGGTTGGAACATATTTCTGAACGCATAGATCATCATACCAATAGCAAGTTCAGCAACTGCATTTGAATTCTGACCTGGTGTGTTCATGACTACTATACCGGCTTTGGTGCAAGCTGGTAAGTCGACATTGTCATATCCAGCACCAGCTCTCACTACTATTTTAAGCTTCTTTCCAGCTTCAACAACAGCTGGAGTCACTTTGTCTGAACGAATGATCACAGCCTCGACTTCTTTAATGGCTTCTAATAACTCCTCAGGCTTCTTGTAGTTTTCAAGCAACACAAGCTCATGGCCAGCCTTCTCTACTATCTCACGAATACCTTTAACGGCTATTGGGGCAAATGCTTTCTCGGTGGCAATGAGGATTTTCATTGAATAAAAAGTCTGATGAGTTCATTTTAATAGAGCAGGAGACGTGGTCGAAGTTGTGAGTTCCAGACCTCAAAAAGTTTGGAAGATTTTGCCTCAAAATTCTGGTGTTTAATTGGTTCAATTTCGGTTGGGGTGTTTCCAATTCGGGGTCTTGGCATTTCGAATCAATCGAAGAACACGAAAGTGTTTCCTTTGATTCTTTCCGTTGAACAACAAATGACCACATTTTTATACCCAAATTGTGGAACTTCACAAAAGGCAGACTTACTTATTTTAATAGCTTTGGGAACCAATCTCCTCTAATTCATTCGACCCACTTCATTTACACGTGTCCTATATATATAGAACAAAAAGTATATTCCATACTTTTTGATTAAAAGTACAATTAAAATATAGTTATCACCTTTTTAATAATAATGTATTATTATTAATATATAATAAATAGCGAACTCAAATTTCACTTTGAGGAATAATTGATAATGAAATGAATATCAGTTCTAATGTACTTTTTTAAGTAATTTAGAAAAGTGTTGTGGTATTTGTGTTATAAAAAAATACATTTATGACTTTAATTCTTATATAACAAACGTTAAAAATATAGTTTATGTTATTATTTATATACTATACACAAATGAATGTCTATCGAAATGAGTAATTAAAATGACTCTACAAATCACCACAGTACCAGTCGATGAACTCGTCCAATGAGATCTGCTTGTCTTTACTCTTGTCAACACGAGCCATCAACTTTTCAGCACTTTCTTTTGGCTTTCCAAGTGCAACAACGAATTTAGTGAGTTCTTTTAAAGAGATATTGCCAGACCTGTCTTCGTCAATGATATTAAAAATGAATGTGCCAAGTCTCTTCTTGTCACTCACTTCTTTTTCTTCTTCGGAAAGCGCGTCGTATCCAGAAGACCTGTTTGGAATCGCTTTGGCTACTCTTGCAAATTCTTTTCTCGACAACTTCCCGTCTTTTTTGTGGAAGAGAGAACACCCATCACACATACTGAATATCGCTTTAAATTCATTGTCTGCAAATGTGTCAACCCCCATCATCTTCTTCATCCCAAATACAAATTCGTCGACATCAATTGTGCCGTTTTTGTCAAGGTCCATGTCGTCAAATATTTTGTTTGCTTTCTCCTTGTTCATTTGTAAACTTTTTTAAGTTGAGTGTTTTTCTACTGTTTTTTCTTGTAAAGCGATAACACGATGTTTTAACTTCCCAAAAGTGCTGTACTTCTTCTAGTTTGTAATATTGTTTGTGAAATGCCATATTTAACTATTTATTTTAATTTCAATTTACTATTATTTATATTGTTCTCTAACTAGTTATATAGTTTAACAAATCTATCAAAAGAAATACACTTTTGAGTGTAGTTATATTATATCATTCAAGAGTGTTAATTCCTCATTGATTTGTATGTTACCAATTGGTATTTATACAATATCAGGCTTTATTTAATAACTATACAGATAGAAGAAAAAAGAGATGACAAGGATAAAGTCGGTGACAAAAATTAATGTTTTATAAAACAAAATAACAAAAAAATCAAAATAAAAATTTGTAAAAAACCTTTTTATTACATGGAAATTGAACCAACACTACCTGTCAATCCTCTCGCCCCAAATGATGTTCATGTTGTTATGCCTTTGAAGCTCGCGGACATTCTTTCTTGTCGCTTTCTGGAGCAATTCCCAGAAGATTTGGGCTCTGGAAAAAGCAAAAAATTGATTAGAGGACTTATGAACTATGAAGAAATGTCACACAATGTCGAAAGCGTGAAAGAACAATTAAAAGAAGTCAATCAATCAAAAAAATTCTCTTTAAAAGACGTTTTGAATGCACAACAGATATTGCAATTCTTTATATTTGATGAATTGTTTTTCGCTTGGAAACCCGAAGGGAGCAAATAGCAACAGTCTTTTCAATTCTAAGAGGAGAGTCTTTTGTCACCTATAGATCAGTTGGAATTTTGTTCAATTCGCATCCGAGTATCATTCATAAGGAAATTACAGAATACAAGAAAGAACAAACAACTGGAAGAAGGACAAAAATGGGAAGACCGACATTCTTAGACAAAAGAACCAAATTTGTAGCTGACACATTTGTCAAATATTGCAATAATCAAAAAATAGCTTTGACATTTGCAGCATTCTCTAAACTGGTTGAAAGAACAACTGGAACGACGTTTAAACCAGATACAGCGAGAAAGTGGGTTCTCAAAACGTTTGACCTCAAAACAATCGAAAAGAAACCGGAAGACATCGGACGATTATCAATAAACCCCGAGGACATCATAACGAATTACATGGAGATGGCAGACTTTAATAGTATAAATAGTGGTCTTGTCTCTAATATTGATGAAGTTGTTTTTCAAGACTTTTGCGACAAGAAAACCGTCAGAGTGCTTGTTCCCAAAAATGTTGACGTTGAAAGGATTAAGATTGGTGTTGGAAGAAGTGGTAAGAGATCCACTATTATCTGTGTGATATGTTTGTATGGCACTACAGCGTGTCCCGGTGTTGTAGTGACCAATAAAACGCTTGACATTAAGCTGTTGTCGACGTTTTCTGATGCAACCTTTTTCACCAACAACACAGGATTTGCAACCAAGGAAATCTTCTGCAAGTGGATGATGAATGTAGTGGTTGAATACATCAAAGCCAAAAGAATTTTACTTCGACTTCCACCAGACGCGCCTGCACTGATCACCATCGACGGTTTTTTCTGGACACAATTACAATGAGTTGAGTACACAATTGGCACAATCACACATCAAACTTCATAAGTATATACCACACTGTTCTCATTTGGTGCAACCTTTGGATCTGTGCCTTTTCGGTTCAGTGAAAAAACAATGTTCAAACAGAACCCCCCTTTCAAAACCTCTGTTTCATCTTCTGAATTGACGAGATCATTGCCTCCAACAACACCTTCCACAGTCCCAATCGTTCCAAATAACTCATTAGAGCACAGAGGTGAGCAACAAGGAGTTGATCTCAATGTTGCAATTCGAGAAATAATTGGTTATTTAGCAGATGCAAATAACGTGGCAACAGACGCAATTCGAGAGAGAGGACAGAGAATGGAAAGTGGGAAGAGACTTACCAACACAATTACCACAATACTGTCAAGCATCGACAGAGCAGCAACACATGAGACCATTATTGCGTTGTTTCAGAGGGCAGGAATGGTTTCTCGTTATGTTGAAGGCGCTTTCCGCCTTTTCATTGATATAAAAAGTGCTTCTAGACTTGTTGAAGAGTTTCAGACTTTTTTCCAGACAACAGTATTTCCCAACCAAACAACAATGACAAAACTCACAGCTCCCAACAACGACGTTAATGTCATTAACATCGCAGACCTTGACCCAAAGCAAAAAAGGATGACAAACAAAACAAAGGTCTGCCACATCAAAGCAATGGCAGAGTCCATTGTCCTCGATCCATCCAACGAAACTTTAAACGAACCCATTCTTTCAAGAATAGTAAGATTATACGGAGAACAACCCCATTCTAATGAACCTATGAGACTGTTCCCCCATTACAATTTCCAACCAAACTCGTTGGAAACCTTTGAGCTCGATGACAGTGACTGGGAGGGTCTTAATTGAGTCTCTATTATTGAATCTTGGTTTTCCTTTTTTTAAGTTCTTTTTTATTAAGATTGTTTTTTCTGAAAAATTTGAATACACTTTTGCATTTTTTGTGTTATTAAAATTCTTGGTCTTTTTTTGCCTCAATTCTTTGGAAAACAACGAAAAAATAGCAAAAGTGTGTCGTCACTTACTTTACCTTTACCATCCATTTATTGGGATTAATAACCCATACCAATAGAGAAAAAACATTTAACTGGAAATATCCTCGAAAAAATGGGTTATTTATACTTTGTCACTGACTTTATCCTCCATCTGTAGTTTACTATCATCTAACAACCAAAAGAATGGATGGAAATCTATTATAATATAATTTATAATAGTAACTATTAAAATCAACAGTCGTCACAATACCACTCTAAAAATTCATCAAGTGTTATCGTTTTGCTCTTATCCTTGTCAACCAAATTCATTACTTTTGTTGCATCTTCTTTTTTCTTTCCGATGGCAGTTATAAACTTTTCAAGTTCTTTCAACGTAATAGTATTGCTACTGTCTTCATCAATTATATTAAACATAAAAGTGCCAACTCTTTGCTTTTTGGCGACATCTTGTTGAACAAAATTTAAGCTATCGAAGTTTGTGGGGAGTTGTGGAATAGCTTTGACCACTCGAGCGAACTCTTCTTTGTCGAGTTTGTTGTCTCTTTTGTGAAAAAACGAACATTTGTCACACATAATAAAAACCGCCTTCATATCATCTTCCATGAAATTTTCTTCTCCCATGATCTTCTTCAAACCCAAGACAAACTCATTTTCGTCAATAGTACCATTCTTGTCAATATCCATTTCATTAAAGATCTTATCAGCATCTTCTTTACTCATGTTAGATATATTCTGGTTTTTTAAGAAATAAAGTTACTTTTTATACATCAATCTTTGATGTGTGTTATTAATTGTACCCAATTAATTCATGTTATAATTTTATTGAATTCTTTAAACTGTTTACATTGGTTATTTCATACACAAAGTAGATTCTATTTCTATATTTATAAAAGAACTATACTATATTAATAATAATTACTTAAAGAGTTTTGCTTCAACGTTCTATAATAAAATCAAATGAAACATATAAAAACAATTCAATTCAAGTCTTTTAAATTCTGCACTGCCTTTTCTATATCAATTCTCTCTTCCGGGTTTTGTCCCCAACACTTCGTGATTAATTCATATTGGTCCCTGTTGATCTCATCAATAATTTCAAGTCTCTTCCCTTCACAAACATATTTCTGAATATCCATAACATGCTCAAATTGTTGATATAAAAGTTTCCATGAAAAAGTTTCATAGAGTACCATTCCATACGCAAAAACATCAGACTTTTTACTAGGACTTTTCTTCTCGTATATTTCAGGAGCACAATACGCCGAGTTACCAATAATACTAGACTGTTTATAGCTTTGGTTGTTTTCTTCCTTCAAATAAATTGAATTCACAAAATCACAGATTTTCGCGTTAACCTTTCCGTTCAGTGTTTTATTCATAATCAAAATATTTGAAGTTTTAAAGTCGCCGTGAATAATATTGTGGTTGTGTAAATACATGAGAGCATAACCACTGTCAATAAGGATTTTTGTTTTCAATTTCTCTCTCAAGATATCGCCTTTCTTAATAGCGTCGTACACACTTCCATATACCGAATACTCACTCACTACACTATAAGTCTCACCAACTACAATTCCATAGAACCCAATGACATATGGACTCTTCATTTGATTGATGATTCGCACTTGACGACCAAACTCTTCATAGTAATTTTCGTTCTTTAAGTTCTTCATCCTTTTCAGTGCAACTTCACTGCCTTTGTAAAACGCTCTGAAAACATCACCGTATACCCCCTCACCTATTAAACACTGTTTTTGTATTTCAAGTGGATTGATATGGATAAAGTCGCTCTCTTCAAAGAAAACAAAGAAATCGCCTTTATCAATTTGGTTCGTTTCAATGTCTTTGTCGACGACACTGATTACACCCGAGTACGTGCACTCAGTCAGTGGAAACACTTCTATGTGAAATTCACATGCCTCACCTTTTTTCAGTATTGCACAAGAAGGTGTCACGCGTAGAGAAAACCGAGTTTCGTATTCGCTCAACTCCAAACTCACAAGCTGTGGTGTTGGGTATGTGTTCCCAACACAAAGGACAGACTCCAATGTCGCTTCCAAGTCCGTTAATTTGCCCAATTCAATGACACTTTTGTTTAAGACAATTTTGCTGTTTATTCGAGTCGAGAAATTTAGAGTGGTGGTTTTCATATCAAAAATATAATTTTTAAGAGACCTCTGCCGTGGTCGCGTGAAGTACACAATGACAAATAGAATAGTCATAATGATAAGAACTACAAAGAGTAGACAGACAACTAAAATCAGAACAAATTCAGTGAGCGTCAATTGTTGTGAACAATATGTCTTATTTGCTTTATACAAAAATGAACAGGAGACACACTCACTGTTTTCAATTGAAATGCAATTGTTGATAAGATTCAAAGAGTCACATTTTCCATTTGAATACACAAAAGTGGACAAACACGCTTGGCACTGATTAAATGAGTTACAGATGGAACATCCTGGACCACATTGTTTACACTCTTTTTGTTCTAAATAGAAACCAGAAGCACATGTTAAACATTGGGAATTTATTATTTCATCACAGTTAGACTCAATTTTCGAGCGACATGTGTTGGAATCAGTTAACACAAAGTCGGAGTCACACAAAATACATGTGTTATTATTCAAACAAGTTTGACAATTTAAACTGCATTCCATGCACGTATCTTTGTCTTTAAAATACCCATCTTCACATTGAACACACTTTGAATTGAGTTGGACGGAACACCCAATTAGTTTTGAATCTTTACATTGTCCGTCATACAGTAAATAGTTTGATTCACAAAGATCACAACTACGTTTGTTGGAACACAAATTACACTGAGGAAGACATTGAGAACACGTAAAAAGGTCATTAATATAGTATCGTGCGATGCACCGAACACAAAATCCGTTTGAGTATTGCTCACAATTATCAATACGTGAAACACAAGTGCCGTTATTATTAACAAAAGGGTAACTACATACAACACAATTTCCTTCATTTGTTATCTCACAATTTTCGATATGTGGTTCACACTTTCCGTTAATATTTAATGTGTAATGTGGTTCACAAATTTGACATATACGATTTTCAGTGGTATTTAAATTAATAACAAAAGTTAGACAATGTGAGAGAACGCATCTTCCATTTGATATGACATATCCAGTATCACACAATTCACACCCACTTATTTGACACTCTAAACAAGCTTCCCCATATATGCTACACGACTGACATATCCCTTCAGTGTTAAAAAATCCATTCACACAAGAAATACTCCCACTTTGTGACACTGAAATGGAATGATCAATTATAACACATTTACTCCCATTCTTGATATATCCATTTGCACATATCTGACACTCCTCTTCACATAAAAAACAATTTAAATCACAATTATCACAGTTGGTGTTCACATTACCTTCGGAACATTTCCAACATCGAGAGGCAGACGTTAACAAACACTTCTCGTTGTGAACACAAAACTTGTTTTGAAGTACAAAATTGTCTTCACATGAATGACATTCTTCTTGATTCAAACACTGTTTGCAGTTGTTTGAACACACGTCACACCTCTGTGTAATATCATTGTAAAAATGGTTGGGTGGACATGTCTGTGGCGATTGAATTAAACACTTGGTGATATTGTTATCCACAATTGCGGCTTGACATGTTATGTCACCAACAGTCACATAAAATGACGATGCTAAAACAACTGTATTTCCAGATTCACTCAATTGTGATTGTGTTGGTAATTTTGTTGATAAAAACAAGTCTTTTGTAGTTGAAAACGCCAAGTCGATATTTGAAAAAGTTAATTTGGTCTGTTTTGCTTCTCTTTTTAACTCTTTTTTCGGACTTTGAATGGTGTAGTCATCAATTTGAATCGTTTTGTTCATATTAAAAGAAAATATTGAGTATTCAGGGAATGACACCCAAACGGTAGTAAACAACTCTGCTGCAATACTCTCTGCAACGACCTTCTGTATTTTCTCTGTTTCAATTTCAAAGTGCAAAGTCGCTTTATTTTCAAATGTCGAGTGTATTGAATGGTCACTGATATAAATGTCGTTCATCAAATTAATTATATGACAGTGTTCACCATAACAAGGACAATGTTGATGGACAAAGGAGAATGTGTTCACAACGTCTATTTCTAAAGTGTTGTCTCGATTAGACTCTCTCCATGAAGTACCATTCATGTAACAATACACCTCTTCTGTATTACTATCTTGGTACCGGAGAACTTTCCCTTCACTCACTGTTGTGAAATTTCCAAATTGAATATCAGAGTGAACGTCACGAGTTGCTATAAAGTCGAAACTTTCATTGGAAACACTGTTGATGGTGACACCATCTCCAACATTGAATTGACCATTCAACAAGATGAAAACTGGATAACATTTGATTGTTTTGTTAATAGTGAAAATGGACTGGCTATCAATAGAAAGGATGTGACACTCTTTATCTCCACGTTTGCAAACTTGTTTTGTATTTCCTTCTACAAGTATCTGTGCATTATCTTTGAAACTCAAATTACAATTTTGTATGTTACAAATGGTGTTTGCAGACCCATTAAACGCATTTTCGAAATTCAAGTGCGAATTTGAAAAGTCAAAATTCTCAGCGTGGAGATATGTATCTTCTCCAAAAGATACGTTAGAGTATTGGTTCACCATATAGAACGTTTGAATAGAAATTTTGTTCTTAGTATTTACATCTACTAAGCTGTGGTTACTCACATACAAGTAGTCGCCTATTTCAATTGTATTTTCATCTCCAAATGTGGCGTTTGAATCATCAACAACACTGATGTATTCATTCGTCTGTATTTGTACATTCCTATTTGTTGTCAACGTGCTGAAGCTATTCAAAAACAAATTTCTGGCAATTAAAACGGTTGTGTTACATCGAACTACACATTGAGAATATGTACTAACTTTAATCCTCCCCTTTGATGTCAAAGAATTATCGTCTCCAAATTGAAGAGTACTTTTATGTGAAACAAAAACATCTTCAAATATTGTAGAAATGTTTTTATTGAATATCAAAGAACTTCCACTTGATAGAACCGTCGTTTGGCCAACACAAATTTTGCTATTTTCGCTCACCACAAAATCGCTTTGATCAAACAGTTCGAGTGAGTTTGTAATAAACGTGTTATTAATACCAAGAGATAGACCTCCATGATAAAGTTGAGTTGATGCACTTCGAATAGTGGAATTCTCTCCAAGACTCATTCGTGAATTGTCACCATCAATACCTTTATCAATTGTTAATGTAACATTACTCCCAAATTTGATGAAGACATTTTTAAGACTCAAACTTTTGGCAGTGAAATGAACGTTCTTAGAAAGTGTGAGCAATTCTTTGCCTTGAAATATCAACTCTGAAAAATAGAGTGAAGACCCACTTTGTGTGACCACACGTGTCATCTTTGTCAAATCAGTAAATCCGTCGATGGTGGTGTCACTATTAAAATCAAATGTCAAAGAGCCGAAGTTCTCAAAAACGTTATCTTCAAGTGTCAAATTGGAAATTCCACTCACAAAAACGTTTGGAACATATTCTGGAAAACACGATGAACGTAAAATGATCTTTCCTGTTATCAAAAGTCCGTCACATGGAGTGTTCCCTGTTTGTCATGTTAAATTAATAATACTAAAAATGGCAAACCATTGATTTGTATACCCAAGGAACAATCTTCGCCTTTTAAAAAACAGTTGGTTGTCGCTTGGACGATCAATGGAGTAATAAACGTAATTGTCACTATTATGTTCCACCCTATTTTGTGTAAGAACATTGGGTATTATCATTTTCAGTACCCATAACTATTAGAAATCTGTTTGAATTATAAGAAAAGCTTGTTTCAATATTATCTGTTCCGCAATTATAGCTTTTTTTAACACATTTAATCATTTATTGGTAATTATTAATATTAGTATATAATATATTATGGTATTGAACTAGACACAAGTACTACTATATTTGTATGCAAAAAAACAAAAAACCCCGACTATTGAAAAAAAATTTATTATTAGAAATTAATTGTATTTTATTTCTATTAAGTATAATTTATATTTCATTTTTTTTATAAAAAAAATTGGATTTCAATAAAACATATTAAAAATTATTAATCTATTAATTAATAGTTCAATTGTTATTATCTTACTAATAATTATGTATCAATTGAAAAAAGGCAATAACACGATAATCAATCTATTTTTAACTATCTCAAAAAATGGAAGGTTAAATATACTCGGCATTCACAATTATTTATTACCAAAATATCAATAACATTTAATTAATTTGTAACCATCATACGAATAATGCTTCAATTCAAAGAATTTCATTTTTGAAATTGAAAGAAAATTAAATAAAACAATTATGATTTGTTGTGTTATTAATTAATAAATTAATATATTTTAGTAAATTATATATAATATATTTGAATTATATCATATATTATTCGAATAACAATTGTTTTGTGTATTTAAAATTTTTATTGTAAAAAAACTGGTTAATTAACTAATGGTAAATACAATTATATTTACAATCCATTTATTTTAATAAACAATTAAGATGTATAGTTCGAAAGCCAAACATAAATTTGTTTTTTAAGAATGTTCTACATCCGATTAAAAACGCCAAAATAAAACTTTGTTGGTTTTGTTACCCGAAATTTTTGGGTTTGCAAACCCTTTTTCTAAGAATTATTTTATCAATTCCCCTCCAAAAACGTTGTTGATCATTAAAAACTATTAACAATAATTTGTTTTATTATTAATAATTGTTTATTTTCAATTTGCTTCCGTTTTGCCAGAATTATTGAGGAAGGAAATTTGTTATTATTTAAACTCCGAAAGTCCTGAAATATTCGACTTTTTTATCCTAATATAAGCCCAACTTTTTACTTTTTTTCTTTTCCCACATTCAATACGGAAACATAGTCCAAACAAATGGGAACCAACAAATTTCTCAATTTGCGAGTCATTATTTCTATTTTTGCAGCAAAAAATACGGCGTGAAAAAAGTAAAAAGTATTGGTCTATTTATAAGCCTCAAAATTCGGCGTGAAATAATATTTAGTTCTTGTGCCTAAAATATCATTTTAGCTTTACTCTTTTCTATTAAATATTGTAATTTAAAGTATTAAAACAAACTATACCGGCCATCTCCATTTTTTCATCGACAAAAAAAGTATTTTTAACGCACATACAAGACGGCAGAGCCGAACTTGAAATGTCCGGCAGAAAACAACTCATTTTACCACTTTTTTCAAAGCAGAAATTATTTTCAAAAAAGTATAGTAAAATTTTAAATACATAATAGTAATAGCAAACCGTGGTACGACAGCATTCGCCAGTGCTTAAATCAAGTTGTAAAAAAGACAAGAAACCCCAGTAAAACTTTGAAAATTCCGTTTAAAAAAAGGTAGAAAGCGGGACAAAAAGGGAAAAAGTGCCACATCGGCATGGTCTAAAAATTCGATGGAAGACTTCGGAAGTCATCGCGCCGTATTATTTGCTGCTTAAATAGAACCAAAAGACTGATTTTGAAAAATTTTCAAGGTAAAGAAAAATTGTGAATAAAAGGGAGGGTTGCTCTATAATTTCAAATTCAATGTACGCTAACGACATAACTCGACCCACCATGACCGAGATGAAACGCGAGTCTAAGAGCTTTGAAGCAATCCAACAAGGGATGGTCTTTGTAGTTCTCAGCTCTTTTGGATATTCCTTTGAACTGAAGCGCCCCGAGCGAATGGCTGAGAAGACGTTCCAGTACCTTACGATCCTTGAGGTATTCAAAGATGGTGTCCCACTTAACTTTGGCACTGCGATTGATGACTTCTGCCAAAAGCAATATGAAATGGAATTCGACCCAAAAATGTCGAAAGGGACTTTAAAGATAGTCAAGAGAAGAAAAGACTTAAACAGAACAGCTCTTTCATTCTCTTGGATGTTGCAGTACTGTGAACAAAGCGGTGTCTTGGTAAATAAAAGAAAGACTAAATTGGCTAAGAAGACAGTCCAACTCGAAAAGGTGACTTCTATCACTTTCCCAAGCAAGAACTTACTCTTCGAGAAGAGTCAAATCGATGAGATCGGTACAGCCGCTCATAAACACTTGTGCTCACTTTTCAATAAAAAGGAGAAGAGTCTGGTCGTCCCAGCTTACTATCCTTTCTTCCTCGACTTACTCGAAAAGGGACAAAACCTCTCAACCTCGTTAAACAACATTAACACAACGGTGAAGTCCGAAAACACACAAAACGATGTACAAACATCACCAGAAATTGTGGAAGAACTCGCCTTTACTAACCCACAAGAGGTCTTTGCATCATTCCCTCTCGATTTTGCCCCAGTCGACGGGTTCATTGTACAGCAACCAACTTACGGATTTTATTATTAATATAGTTTTTGTTTACTTGTTATTTTACTATTCTTCTGGTATTGGAAAAATGTTGATTTTTGTCTCCACCAGTTTATTATTTGTGATGACTTTTTTGTTCATTAAATTTATTATGATATATAATAATAATAATTATATATTATAATATATATTATAATTTTGTAATTTGTTTTATAATAAAACTTTTTAGTTTTAAATGATTTTTATATAATTAATTGTGTTGTAATAAAAAAAACTATTCTATTTTAAAAAATTTATTTAAAAACATTATAAAGAATTAAAATAATATTTTATAATATAATAGATTAAACTATAAATTAGTTATAAATTATTATTAACAGATTGTTTATGTGAAGTTTATACACAATTCATTACTATTTTTTATAACCTGAAAACAACTAATTACATATGCAGTTTGAAATTGATATTCCCTTCAACACGACAACAAACAAATATGACATTGAAAAGCTAGTCTTTCACTTTTTACAAGGCGGTGTGGTATCTCGTCCAACATTATTTCTGTTACTTGAAAAGTGTAAAACGCTTTTCCGGAGTGAGAAGAACATGATAGAAGTATCCGACGACGCATTGATCTTTGGTGATTTTCATGGGCAATACCTCGACTTCTTAGGTGAGTTACAGTCGAACAAAGAAAAGATAACGACGGCGTACACGACCATCTTTCTAGGTGATTACGTTGATCGGGGTGATATGTCGACGGAGTTACTTATAACACTTCTCTGTATGAAATACAACACACCGACCACTATAATTATGTTACGTGGTAACCACGAGAGTATGATGATGTCATCCACAATGGGCTTTCTTCAAGAATGCAAATCAAAATATACCAACACGGTCCACGCAAGCTTCTGTGACCTTTTTAATACACTTCCGCTCTGTGTTTTGTTACGAAGGAAGATGGGGAACTTCTTTTTATGTCATGGCGGGATCTCCCCCGATTTGGGACTTATCAGTGAAATCGATGCCATCAATCGCTTTCGCGAACCCCCGAACGATGGCGTGTTCTGTGACTTGTTATGGAGCGACCCCATCTCCGACGCTTTTTTGAACTCGCGCCCATCCTTCAAAAATAATTTCGACAAAATCGACTTTCTGACTAACACGGAGCGGGGCACGTCTTACATCTTTGGGTTTGACGCCATCGATAAGTTCTTAACTAAAAATCAGGTTGTGATGTTGATACGAGGACATCAATGTTGTCAGAGTGGAATCGATTTAGGGATGTATGGCAATGAGACTATGGAATATCCGCTCTCAATGACTATATTCAGTGCAATTGACTATTTCCAGAAGAACCAAGGCTCTTGTGTATTAGTCACCGATGACGATTTTAATATCTTCAACTTTAACACAACGACTAAAATGAAGTTAAATCCAGTACTAGCAAATCCTTTATTCTCGTCCCTTGTATCGATCTTTGGGAATATAGAGAGTGGGTTAAAGGACTTAATAAAGTCTGCATTTCTTATCAACGATATTGAAGAAGTGGACTACAATTGCACTGGAAGTCCACACAATGAGATGGAACTTGAAGTGAAAGAGGAGTTCCACTCGATCTTTGACCAAACTCTAATACAACCACAAAGAATAGTTAATGTCCCCTTTGAAATTAAATACGACACTCTAGAAGAGGAGGAAGATGACACACAAGCTTTCTCCTTGTTTAAATCATTCGACGCTTCAGTGGGAAGAAGTAAACATGAACACATCAATTTGTTTGCTTCAATATCAACACAGGAACCAACACGATGTTTGTTTTGTGATACCATTTTAAAGCCATTGGGATGACTCCGTCGACTTCCGTGTTATAGTCTCAAGACTAAAAGACTCACAAAAAAGATGAACGAGCTATTGAGAAGCGGATGAGGAATGAATCTGTTCCGATGAGTCTCGCAGACATGCGGAAGGAGTACGCTAAGCGGCAGCAACTCAAATAACAAAATTCAATTACCTTTCATTTCTTTCGTCTTCCCCAGTTTGCAGATATTCGCTGATATTCGGCTGTCTGAGGACAACATGAGGTTATATTCTTCATATGACATTGTGATATATCCGCCGTCTTCTTTAGGAGTACGGACATAGATGACGTTCTCAACTTCTATTCGTGTCAAGCACTTTAGTATGGAAGTGCCTTCTTTCCCTTTCAAATACGCTGTGAAGCAGATATTAGTATCGTCAACTACAAATGTCTGATTCATCGTATTACACTGGATCTTAATAACATCGCTATTATTATTAAATGAATCAAACCAATCAAGTGGTTGATTCGCCATCAATTCTGAGTCACACTCCCAATTCATCACACTATATGAGGAATTCACTTGAATTAAATCTTTCAAATTCTCCTTTTCGTCCTCCGTCATCTCACTGATTTTAGTCCCGATGATGAATTGACCACTCTCACTATCCATGTCTTCATACCCAAACAACAAAAAGCTCTCGGGCTTCGATGGGTCACAGATCGATTTTTTATTCAATTTGATGGTCCCTCCGAGAGATCGATAACACTCCCCATCCGTTTGAAAGCGATGCGTTTTGATTAAAACGGCATTCGAAGCCGATATCTGGAGTTTAACATTCGCACCAATGACTGATGTCGCTTCGACAGAATTACATGAAAAATCAAAGATGCCATCAAAGATAATACTCGACGGCTGAATAGCCAAGTCAAATGTTTTGTTGTTGACTATCGTGTTTTTAAGTTCGTCGAGAGGGTACTTCATCGTAGGAAGAAAGATCGAGAAAACTACAACTGATGGTATCGTCAATAGAAAAAAGATTCCCCACGTGATGAATAAAAACTTTTCTGTGATATCGGTCCCATTCGAATTTTTCGTTGAGTCAAACTCGGGTTCGGAGTCTTCAAAAAAGTCACTCGACCGCATATATGATTTGAAAGTTCTGTTCCTTCGTCTTTTTTAGTTAGGTGTTTGGAGACTTCTTTATAATTTATCTTTAATTCTTTTTACTATATTTATATAATAATAGTATAATAATAATATTATTATTTTAAAGTTAAAAAATTATAGTTTATTTAAATATAAATTTAAAAACTATACAAGAACTATACATTTATTATACTCATTAGCTCAGCGGAACTCGAGAAAATAATGATTGAGGAATTAACGGCCGCCTATAAACGGTTCTGTTATACTCCGAATAATACTTCTCTTGCTCGACTTTTCGAAAGAAATTCTGTACATAAGTGATTTGTTCAATTATAATAAATTATTAAAATCTATTACTATACATTTTAAAACAAATTCAAGTATTATAAAATATATAAAAACAATCTAATTTTTATGGTACAAAAACAAACATCAAGAATAAATTGCTCTGGAATTGAAAAGTGAGTGGTAATGAGTTCTGGGGAGATAAACATCCGCAGAACGATTTCAGAGTAATCAACCAAAACGTTCCATAATTTTTGGTGGAGTAAAGGTCTTTTAAGAAGAGCATATTTCACAAATCCATCAAGAATGGAATTTTTCATGTCTTTCGAATAGCTAAGGCCAAAAAATTCCTTTGAGATGTCGAGATAGGAATACGATGAAAGTGTTGGAACGAGAGATTTTGTAGATGACGAAATGACAAAAATTTGAGTTGTTTTGTTTTGAAGGAGAAATAGGTTTTCTTGTTTTTCAACGACTTCTATTGGCGGAGAAATTTCAGATACACCGCTCACACAGAAATTCGTCAAAAATTTGGCAATTTCAATAATCAGAGTCGTGTCTGTGCTCTTTGAAGAGTATACAATAACTTGCAACCCTGATAATAGGGTGAGGAGGATCGACGGAAATGCAGTCTTAAACTCTGTCACAAACCGATAAAATCCGAATTGTGCATTTTCGTTTTGCGAAGAGCTGAAAACAGGCGAAGGGAAGGGAGATATGAGTGTTTCAGATTGACTCATTGATTGCCCTTTTTTCTCTTTTTTTGACTCCACATCTTGTTCGTTTTGGCAAACAACAAATTGAGTAATGTTGGCGGAAAGAGAGTTCTTATGGGACGAAAAGTTAGAAACAAAAGTTTGTGGTGGCATGAATGACCAACTCATCAAAGCCCTTCCACCACACGCCAAGATGTTCCCTTGTCCGATCGGGTTAATAAAATTCGCACACAAATTGTTAAAAGAGTGTGTTGACAAAAGGAACTGTTGATATGACGAAATGATCTGTTCAAATAGCAACGGGTCGTTAAAGTTTATAAGTTGTTGAAGACTTAAAACGGTTGCAAACTTCTTTTCTGTTGTACTGGAAGGCGCAACAGTATCAGGCTTCTCTTTTGTTGTTGAAGGCTCACATTTGATTGTTGTGTGTTCTTTTAATTTGTCTGTAATGCTTTGAAAGGTCTTTGCAAAAGAAATCAGTTTCTCTGATAATGTGTCGATTTGGTATGTTGAAAATGGGTGCATTTGAATCACTGCGATGCAACAGGAAGAGACGTACCCTCTGACGTTTGAAGGGTTGTAACATGTAAAATTAACGGTGATGATGTGAAAGGATGTTAAAGTGTGCATAATGATTGTTGGAGTGCTTTCTTCAAAATAATCTGTGCCCATCAATATGCCAACAATCTCCGTCTCGACTTTTTGTTTCAATTTGTACGACACGTGTTTGTACACAACAGACTCCCCTTGCACATTGTCAAATTCTACTATGTACAAGCCGATAAACTCTTGGTTAAAATTTACGGAAGTACTCTCTGTGCTTTCCGAAGCGTTCGAAGAAATGGGACCTTGTGCTGATAGTTGTGAGACCTCTGTTGCTGAAGTGTCGCTTTCAGAATTCATTTCCAAAATCTATTTCGAGTTTTCTTCTGGAAAAAATGCCTATCTTAAATAGTTATTATTGTTTTTTGTTGTTATTAAAACTACTGTTCGTAAAAATAGAGGTGGTAAAAACATTGAAATATTGTATAGTAATTATAATATATATATTATATTTAATAGAATACAGTAATAACAAATAAATTAAGAGTCAATACCATTGGATTGCAATAACACAATCCACATTAAACCGATTGGGGTATATCGTATTATTAAATACAGACGCTCCGCACATCTCTTCGTCCAAGTAGTACTTAGAGAACGTTGGGTGGCAATAAGCCTTCCCATCGGAATAGACTGATAAACAGTCTGCAAGACCAAACACACAATTGTCGTCATTACAAAACCTCAGTCCGACATCCAATCTTTTTCTTTGGAACTTTTGTGGGAAGTTGCCGTTTTGATTTTTTAGAGAAAAGACGAAGTAAGCCTTATCGTCTTCGATATATTGGTGGTCTTCTTTGTTTGGGACCGTCCCCGCCTTATTGGTAAAGCCGCCGAAGATGTTTCTATGTTCGTCGAAAACAAAAATCATCACGTTGTTTGTTCCCATGATCTTCTTGTTGAACGAGTCGGAGTTTAATTGGTCGCCAAGCTTTGAGTTGTAAATGACTTTGAACATCCGTTTGTCTGTCCATCTTGAGAGAGTTTTCTTGAAGATTTCGATCTCACTCAGTTCTTTGTTGAAGACTTGCGTTGGTTTCTTTGTAATCCACCTTCTATCCGGACTCGAGGTTGGCGATTTATCTGGTGACATCGGATTTTTGATAGATTGTGGTTTCTCCAATTGGTCTTTGGGTACAATATCAAATAAAAAGTTTGGCGAAGAGGAGGAAAGTTGGTCTTGGCGTGGTGTGAAGAACCCACTCTGCACCTTTTTAATTTTTCTGGCGCCAAGGAAATCAACACTTCTACTTGTGGAGTGACTCGGCGAATTCGGTCGAGAAATTTTGGTCTCTACTTTTTCTAAACGAAGATTCAATTTGTTAATCAAAGCCGCTAACATAAAAACAACAGATGGCCTTGTTGGGTCGTCTTTTAAAGCTTCTTCAAGTACGGTGTAATCACTGACAAACTGCTCTGTCATTATGTTTTGAATATTTTGTTTTGGACTATGCTTTATAAAGAAACTCATGTATTTAAATCACAACTACTAGTTAAGTTAACCAACATATTACTATAATACTATAGAATAAATGTATAAGATGAAAAATCAAGTGGTTTGGACTTTTCCTGTCTTTATTATTCATTTTTTTTGAACGAAAGAAAGAGCAAAAAATGTAGAGAAAGATAAAAATCGAATGAAGGACACCTCAAAAATTTTTAACGGGTGGTGGTATTAATTTAACTTTAATTATTTAACCATTTCTAAAGAATGGGTTCTAACATTTATAATTAATTTAATAGTTATTGCTTTGTATTAGTTGCACTATAGAAATAATTATTCGAGATACGAAACTTCATGAATGAAAATTTGATTCAAATGAACAAAAAAATAACACTCAAACAAGTGTGACACAATTCGTTATAATCCCGTTTATTTGGTATAATTCTATATGATAGTTTAATAAGAATTATCGGTTTGGTTTTTTATCAAGTACAATTGTAACTAATTATTAAAATGGAAACAAATGCACTTTTGAGTTTATATTTTGTAAAAGTACTATTTAAATTAGTATAAATTAATTTAATTATATTAATATATACACTCATAATTTCATAATCAAAATATCACAATATTATTTTGTTCAAAAAATGTAATATATTTCTAATAATATTAAGAAATAATAAAAAACAAGGAATTGGGGTTGACCATTTTGTTGAGAAAGGCATATAACCATAAAAAGTTACATTATTTACAAATTATAGCATTTTTAATTATTTATTTAAATTTTTTTATAATAGAATAATAATACGAGTCAGAAATATTTGTAAATGCATTGTTGATTTTTTGTACATTTACGATTTTTCAATTCCACAAATAATGATTTTTCTTGTTTTTATTAATTTATTAGAAATTAATAAAAAAGCAATTTATTTCCTCCCAAAAATGTTTTTTCGAAATACTTTTGTTTTATGATTGTATATATTAAAATAAAAATTCTTATTTTGTTTGTTTATTGGAAAAAAAAAATAACAATAAAAAACTAATTAAAGTATTTATTATAAATAACTTTGTTTCGTAAATAAAAAAACTAAAACAAATAGAAAAAAGCAATAAAATCGATTATTACAAAACTATACTAATCAAATAAACAATAACTACTCAAATGATAACTAATACTAAAAACAATAGTTTTTAGTTAATTTGTTACTTCTTCTTTCCTCTAAGAAGGAGTGACATACAAATTCTTGCCTTTTTAAGTACACACTCACATTGTGTTTCTGCCATCACCTTTGCGTACTCTTCCCGTCAATTTTACTCTTACACCAAATCTATTCAACCCACTTAATCATATAAACAACAAACCCTCTCCTTCTTTCAGTGGTCTTGTCTTGACCTTTTGAACGTCTCTAATCAACAGCAGTTGCAGATCGTCCAACTTAATTTTCTCAAACCCACTCTTTAAATTTTGAAGAGCGTCTTCTATCTTTGCTTTCGTGACAAGTTTTTCCTCGCTCTTCCTTGGTTTCTTTTCCTTCTTAATTTTCTCCTCTTTTTTGTTGAGTTTTTCTTGTTCTTCCTTCTTACTTTTTCGGATCTCCTCCGGGGTTTTGCTGGGGTCGTCCGTTTCTTTCTCTTGATCCGTTTCCTTATACAGTAGTTCTCTCGACTTCTCTAAGATCATTTCCATATTCTCCCTCTTATTCCCACAACACTGACATGTACACAATGCACTACATAACGTCTTTTTTTGAAAGCACGAACAGTTCGACTCTAAACAATGATTTCCACCACACCGACATGGTATAAAACTTTCTTCCCATTCTTCTTGTGGTTCCCCCATCTTCTCTTTGTTATTTGGTGTTAACTAGTTCCGAAGTGGTAAATTATTCATGATAGTTAAATGAACTAAAAAAATATTAAATCAATTTATCTCGAAACCCAAGTGCGTTAATCCCATTCTCCAATATGATGACGTACCGCTTCGACAGTTTGCCTTCCTTAACTCGGCGAATTATCGCGTTTTTAATTGCAACCAACTCGTCGGACCGTATCCTTCCAACGTTTTTCATTAAATCGGCTAAAGCCTCTAAAGCCACAAGCCCCCCGTTCACTAACTGTTGCATACAAAATATTGGCAAGGCCTCCACTACAACTTTCATCTTGTACAATTCGCATATCAGTTTGACATTTCCAAGAAACTCGAATTTCATCACATCGATTTCTTCTTGTGTTTTCCCCTCTTCGTCGACTTCGCCAGGGACTTTCATGAAGATTTCGTGCGCAAAGTCAAGAAGGATTTTTGGCATTTCATTCGCGACACTCTCTCGTGTCGTCATTGTTAAGAGTTGCAGCTCTTTATAGAACCGGACGTACAGACTGGTGTACTTCCTCTCGTTCACCGCTTTCTTGAATAAAATGGTTAAAACAAGTTTTGCGTCGTCAAGCGTGCGAACTTGTGTGTGAACTTCTTTAAGGATCTGTGCCATATTTGCTTCACACAATTTGTTCAACGAACTTCGAATGAATGAAGTCGAGTTAATGTTCTCTGAAACGGCTGTTTGTGGTTTTGGAGTATGACACGACGCAGACCTCTTCATCGTGATTTTGTCGAATACAGAAACTATAGAAGAAATGCTGTGGGGGGTTCTTCGAAAAGAAACCATTTGTTCCGGTGTGTATTGAATGACCGTTCGATAATTCTCTCTGACAATCGGAGACCCGACACGAAGTGGCGGGTACTCACAATTTGGCTTGGAACTACTTACTTGAGTGATGGAAGGGTCGTTGGTTTGAAGATCCAGAATGACCAACACGCGGCGAGTGCGAACTGACATCTTTGGGTTATATGGTTTATCAGTTTTTTTATTGGTTTTACTGCGATAAAAAACAAAATTGGTTTCCATCAATAACATTCTATTTTTAGAATCGAATAAAATGTTATTTAAAAGTTATTCAAAGAAAGAATAAGTACCTGCACGTCAATTCAAAAACGTTAGAGGAGATACAACAACATAATTTCTTCATAGACTGAATGGGTTTGAAATGACTTTTTATTGGTTGAATAAGTTTTTTCTTGTCATTGAATCTAAGTGTGCGTTTCCATAGTAAAAAACCAATGATAAAAAGTGTTATATATTTTGTTTTACAAATTATTACGATTTATTTAAATAGTATAATTCTTTTTTAAACATGAAATCTTTTTGGTTCCAAAATGAACTAAATCCCTGATTGTTTTAACTTTTTTATTCCATGTTTGTTTGATTATTGGTATAAAAAATAACTAAATGCGTCATTTAAATAAGAACTGGTTAAGTAAACTAAATTTATTAAATTGTTTTATTATAAAAAGAATTTATATTTGTATAAAACGCATTTTTAATTGAAATTGTTTATTTGAATATTTGTGGAATTACCAAAAAATACCATCTAATATAGTTAAATGATTTAGTTGAAAACAAAACAATCTTATTATATATATATAGTTTATAAATCTACACTTTATGACATTAATTTCATTTGTTTTTTTAATTTGGACAAAAATAGCTTTGCTTAACCATTAGCATAGAAGCAAAGAATCAACAACTAAACCCTATTTTTGCGGGTAACTATCTCGATGTTTTTTTCAAATAATTTCCAGTTTATCAATTTTTTCATTAAAAACAAAGTTATTTAATTAAACATAATATAACAAATATATTACAATTTTAACAAATAAAATGCAATAAGATGAAAATCTTCAATAAATTATTTGTCGAACCGAAAAAATAGAACAATTTTTTTTCAATAATTATGACCAAAAAGAAGTAAATGATAATCAAAATACCGAAAAGACCAAATATAGGTATTCTTTATATAGATTTTTATAGTGTAATTTTTCCAAACAAATAACCCGCTTGTTACCTTAAAATTCTGTATTTTATTCTAAAAAGATCAATACGATTAATTTGAATCAAATAAAAAATTGATTGGCAGTTTTCAGTTAAAGTAATTTGTGAATAAACCATTCGAATAAAATTCAAACTAAAGACTGATCTGTTTTTTGTATCAAAACACTCGGCAAATCGTCGGGAACTGATCCAAATGTTATGTATTTATCGACAAAACACTTACAAAAAGGTATTTGTGGTGGTCTGCCAAGTAATAATTCTAGTGACAAATTTATAATATTCTTATAACGAAAAATAAGTTAAATTGTTCCGCATCTTTAGTTCAAACTTTCAAAGAAATTGAAAAAACAGTTAATGGAATCGTCAGAAGTAAAGCGCGGCAGACATTACACAATTTCCAGTACCTTCACCCGTTTTCTTTCCCGCTCGCGCGACAGTCTAGTCCACAAAAATACGATCACTGAAGAAGATCTTTCCCTGAAGATTATAGCGAGCTTGTCGACAACCTTTAACTACTTCGAATTACTTCAATTATTTGGAGATAATGGCTATACTCTCTTTGATTCTCCCGATGAAGTTTTATCTGAGAAGAGTCGGTCGATAGTGTGGAGGATGTCCAACGACAAACGCACTATTTTAGAACTCTTATGTAAGAAGATGAAAGAAGAAAACATACCAGCAAAGCAATTGATGTATCTTGCATTTGACAGAAAGACTATCCTTCCTTCTGACTGCGAAATTTTCGTGAACGACCTTATGAAGAACCAAGACACTATATTTAACGTGAATGGAGATCCTCTCTACGACTTCGATGGTAATGTGCTGACTCTTTCACTGAATGTGTTATACGAAATGTTATTCAACTTCAAAGAATCGAAGAAAATTGTGTCGACCGTCGTCATTACACACTCCCTCTTCTCAACGCGAAACGAACTTTTAACCCACATCTTACAAGAACATGACGAATTACAAAAAATGAAAGAGTCCCACGTCCTTGTAAAAATGAAAGAAAGACTCGATTATATCATCACGACGTACGCACAATTTCTGGGACCACTTCCAAAGGCGGAGATCGACTTAATTAAAAGTACTTTCAACAAGAACGAGTTACCAAAAATATTTGAAACGGACTCTGTGGAGGACGATAAAGTCCCTTCAAGACTCTGCAAATCGAAAAAGTCGAATAAGAAAAGACTTTCATTACGATCGGACCCCGGAGACGTCGCACAAGTACTCAGTTCTGAAGGAGAAATCGATAAATTTCTCAATTTGGACACGGAGATCACTAAAGAGACTCTTACCAATATTCATCACCGACTTGTCGCACAACAGTTTGTTGCGTTTGACTCGAATTATTTCAATAAAATCGAGAAGGAAGACTGGGTGCTTGGGGAGAAAAGTGACAATGTGAAGAAGTGGGTACATGCGACTAAAACGATTGAGTCGTGTGTCTTTGAGTCGACGCCGACGAGAAAGCAAATCACTTTCTTTGTCAAAGTGATGAACGATTGTCTTGAGATGCGCGAAATGAACATATGCAATATCATCTTCTCTGTCTTAGTCAATTTGAGTATACAAAAGCAGTAGAGTTCAAAGCAATG